TTTACATTTTCCTATTGAATCTTTGTTCACACATTATGACCACGTGTTTAGTCGTTTATATAATTAATTCAAGCCTAACACGTGATAATAACTTACATAATCTCGGTGTTTTATGGGAATATTTTCTACAGAGAATCAATGAGTTAGTATTGAATTATTTCATGAAAAATTGAATAAAAAGCTAATCGAAAGTTTATGTGATCATATCAGATGTAAGTTTGAAAAACTAGGGGAAAAAAAGCAGTTGTATTGTTTTAAAATAATATTTGGGATTAGTTTATTGGTAGATAGAAATAGTAAGCTGGTTATGAAATTTTGAAATTAAAAGAAACTGTGTAATTTAAGATGTAAAAGTAGAATTTGAAAATTAACAAGTTCTTTGTGCTGGAAATTGATAACACAGACATAAAAAAAAAGTAAAGATATGAACATAATGTGATATTATATGTTGTATTGTTAGATAGATAACATAGATTTTGATTAATAAATTTCATAAATGACAAATAGTCACTTTGTTATAAACATTTTATTTAACATTAAAATCTTCAACTGAATTTCCATATAAATACAGCTTGGTTATGAACAAACAAAGCAGCTTCTGGGATCGATATGATTGGCTTTCTCCAATATGAACAGAAATAACAAATCAATTGCGAAATTGTAAAAACTAGCAATTCTTATTGTTTTATATGTCAATTGTCCCACAAATGATAGTGATATCACTATGATTAGAAATTATCTACGAAAACATATTTTCTCCAGGAAAATTTAACATTTTTATTCCAGTAATTATGTGCATCTAATCATCATGATTATTTGAGATAGCGATTCGTTAAAATGCAATATAAAGACTTATTGTATTGATATTAATATTGATATCAGGAATTGTTGAATTAGTTAAGCTAAGTTAAAAAGAAAGCTTCAAAATTAAATTTTGAAGTAGATGAAAACCTTAAATCATCATTTTTTTTTTAGTTCCCCTGAAAGAATCTGACTGACTGACTGACTGACTAGACACTCGAATTCAAACTTACATATCAACTATGATAATGAATATCAAATCTCTATGATTTCATTATAACTCAGTATTTTTTTATTTCTTAATCAAAACTGATCATGTAGGATTGATGAATTCGCACGGACAATAAATTAATCACTTTTATCAATAATAATAAATGGAGTCAAACTCAAAAATGCAGTTGTTTGAAGGTTAAATCAAATTTCGAATAGTAACTAATTAATAATAACATCTCCAGAATATATCACTTTACTTAAAACTAATAAAAAGAATCCTGTACATTCAATTGCCAATTATTATTGTTATTATTATTATTTAGAAGAAAGTGAATGTAATGAATATATCTACTGAAATTTAATTATATTAAACTTTACTGATAGTTTACACTCAGAACACTTTATAAACAAATAATTTTCTTCAATAGTTAATTATCAATCCAGTAAAGCAACAAAGTTGTTCAATGATCAATAATTTACAGTGTTATTACAAAAACTCTGAATGACTCATAATATTTAGGGATTATTTATCATCATCAAATCAAATATACTGTGTATTATTCAATCGGTGATAGATAAAATAATTTTGAAATAAAGTGAAAAGAACAATATTTAAAGAATAAAAAAAAATGAATTCATTATATATTTCAGTAGTTTTCATCAGCTACAAACTGTTTAAATGTACATTAATAATTTTTTTTTTGATTACAAACCATAATCTATGAAGTTTAGTTTGAATTAATATTAAAAATAAGAAAAGAAAACAGCATATTTAACATAACATTGAATATTGATTAGTAGTTATAGGTTGAAGATGAAATGGTACAAATACAAAAAGAGGATAAAGTTGTCAACGAACATAAATGAATAGAAATAATTTGTTACTAAATGAATCATAATCTGCGCGCTTGATTAAAATAACATCAAAAGAAAGAAAATGGACGTCTTGAGAAAAATTTTTAAGGAATCTTTCTTATACTTTAATATAAATTGGCTTTAGAATAGTTACGTAATCAATTTCAGAAAATGCAATAGAGCACTTTAAAATGAGTACAGATGAAATTATTTTTATTTATAATTCAGTTTATTTGAAATTTTGCCACTGATATTTCGAATTGCAATGAATCTGTTGTTTATGGATTCTACTTCTGACCACCATTCATTTTAATGGCTTATTTCTGTAATTTTTTTTTTAAATCTTAGGGAAGAAGAGATTGAATACAAAGTTGTATTCAATAATTCATTAGTTTACATAGGTGCATTGTGTAAACTTAAATGTATATTTTATTGAGTTGTACTCAATATGTAGATGTTTTCTTGTGATATTCCTTATAGTTTATTAAAGTTCAAATCACTAGGGAGTAATTAATTCGAAGTTTTCTAATACTCTTCATAGATTATTAGCGAACAAGTTCATTCAGTTTTATTATTATAACCTCAAGTTCATCTGGGATTATCTTCAACTATCCCAATTTACATAATTTCTAGTCAGATCTTTGTTTTTAGTTATATGTAAAAAAGAGAACAAGATAAGAAGTTCTCAAATATTACTAAGTGATATAATATTAAGGAAGTCCCACAGATTTTTAAAATATTAGGTTGTTAGAAATTTCAATTTAAATCGTTTGAATTTAGACATCAATATATAGTCGGAAGAAGTCTCAGTGGTTCAGGGGTTGTGTTAGTACACAAGGTTAGAGGTTTTCACTTTGATTCCGGAATATGCGGTCGTGGATGTGTACTGCTGAATTGCACTCTAGGACCAGACAGCCGTCTAATAATTTCAGGTTCCTAATGATGATCTAACTAAACTGAAAAGATAATTAAACAAATAAATTTATAAATTTTTGCAATCACTTCAGTTTAAGCAGTAAAAGTCAGTGAATGTATCATAAGTTTATCACAGCTATAGTGCAATTTATGTACGAGTAATCAATTCTTTCAAGTGAAAGCATAACATTATCTAATATAATAAAATATAATTTTTATCCATATTATGTAGTTCGAGTTTATATTAGATACTGCTAATTCGATATTTCGATTACTAGAAAAATATTGATAAAATAAGGTTCACTGATCATATTAATATATTTGTTAAAAGAAGGTATAATAAATATTCTGTTTTGTACAGGTATCACATCATAAAATTGAACTAAGCATTTATGTGTACAAATTTTTTGTGAAAATAGACAGTTCTAGTATGATCAAATGATCTTTGATTCAAAATGAAAATGGTAATTAATATTTCAACAACTTGGAATAAATCAATCAATTAAAAAAAGAAGTTGATTTACATAGAGCCTAAGTTTTACATGTGTTGATATAATTTAAACTTCAAATAAATTGTTTAATTCATTTATATACCGAATGGTTTATTCTTTCTTAAAATTGAGTCATTTAATTTAAAGCAGCAAGTACACCAACATTTAAACATGATGCTGATGACTTTCAATTAATTCTTTGTAAACAGAACAATTTTCTTGTATAGATAGATGATGGCTAAGACAAGCTCTAATATTCGTTTACATTGATATTTGTTTTGTATACTAAATTAGATTACGGTCACTGAGATTATTCTTGAATTATTATCTCATGATACCTTGTAGTATTTATATAGTACAGAGAATTAATGCTACAAATACAATCTACAAAAATCGATTTACTTAAAAACTAGGATAAAGCTTATCCATTTGTATTTACGATTACAATTGAAATTAATTGATGTTTGACATAGAATATCCCTTTAAAACATGTTAACTTTACATGGTATCTTCAAAAATATACACATAAATTTGTACTAGAAACCTGGGGATTTTCGAAATTAAAAAAATAGTATATGAATCGATTTAGAATTAGCTTGAGGCTTTTACAAAATTGATGACTTATAAGGTGCAACAACAATTTCCAGTAACAGTTCATGATTGAAGACTACGTATAGCATATCGAGGATAGATTTTCGTGACGTAAATATATTTATCATGTATTTTATCGATAATTCTACATGGATTTGATTTAACGCTATGGTGTCGCTGATTATTTTCCCTGTATATTTCAGTAGTTAATATTCTCCTTATCATTTTTCAGTTTATTTCAACCTGGTAGATCTGAGGTTGACATTCCACTCAGTCAACATGAGAAGCTGGAGAAGAAGAAGAAGAAACTCGGTACAATGTTATTTCACTCACTTTTGATAATAAGACAAAAGAAGGATAACCAACATAGTACAAGAAACACTGAAATAGACAGAGTTCTAAATACTTTATACGTACCCACCTTAAAAATGCTACGGAATGTTAAGGTTCTACATTTGAGAGTAACACATGACATTATGATCAACAGGTGCCTTAGTAATCTATCCAAAGGGAGCATTGGGTAATATAAAAAATCTCATGTTACAAGAATGTTAAAGCACTCAAGTTCCCTAAGTAAAACAGTACACTTTTAGGTGGAAATAATTCAGTCATGTCTACTTTCGATTTGTCATTCATGGAATATATTCCCCGGGGCAATTGTTTCCATTAAAACTATCCTTCTTTCTTTTGCCTACGTGTAATTCGAATAAGTTTGAATTTTCACCATGGATACCACGTATTTTGACAGGTATTTAGCAGAACACTTTGGCGAAGATCAGAGCGACTAAGACTTCGGTCCCGAGGCTGAAGTCCATTCTACTAATCCATACTGACCATTATATTATATTTCAACAGGTAAAAGAACCTCCGCTAGATGACAAAACTTAAGTCGAAAATAGCTACGTTTTAAAACATCAAAATAGCATCTAAGAAATGCTAGTTATCTGATCAGAAAAGTTTGGTCTGAAATATTAGAAAAGATTTTTTCGTATTAATAATATAGTATTCAAACGTTTGTGACAAAAAGGAGCATTATTTAAGTCTCCATAATTACTATTACTAGACAGACAGCCCTGCCTATATAAAAATCGCTTTCTTATGTTTTGGAGATAAGGCTTATGACCGAATAACGACCTTGAATCCAGCCAGTTGTCTGTGTGACCTTGAAACATCCGAATCAATTGAATTTCAATTTACAACCAATCAAAAACCTTATAGTTACTATACATGTTTGTTTAAATACGGAACTAAATAAATTGGCCTAGTTTGTAATCCCAATCAAGTGAATACCACAAATTACTGCGATTTAATAATGCCGCTGACTTCACGTTCACCTTACGATAGCAAAACACTGCTTGCTAAATATTATGATTTGCCTCAACCTGATGACACCATCCAGGTCATGTACGTATGGATAGACGGAAGTGGAGAAAATTTACGATGTAAGACAATGACTTTGACAGAGGAACCCAAACTTCCAGAAGGTACGCTGACAATTTATTTCCTACTATTTATACTCCTTATTTCATGAACAAATCTTTGAAGAGAAAACTTCATTGAATTAAATGACTGACTGTTAAATATTCATTTGTACCGGTTGTTTGAATCTTTCCGTTGATGTTAAAGACTGCCATCGATTAGTCTCTTTAGCATATGTTCATCCTGTACAGAGTGCCTCTATATTGCCCTTTAGACTACAAGTATTATTAGCAGAAGTGGATAGTAGCTAGCAGTGTGATCCAGTACACGCATTTCGTCCTATTCAGGACTCTTCAGGTGGATGCACCTGAATTTCAGAGTTGACGCTCATTTCGGAACTCAGATCTAGTATCATATTCCATCGTCTTATCTACTTATTTACTGAGTTCAGATAGTTTTATTAAACTTTCGCTCCCAAACTTTACTGTACCAGTAAAAACCATTTTTTTTCTCTCCATTTCATATGATGACTAAAAATAAATTTTCCATTAGTTTAAGTCTGTCTCAATTTTCAACAGCTTCCAAAACTTATACAAACGGATGGCAAATGTTTAACAGATTACTGAATTTGAAAAAGGATTCATTGATTTAAATTTGACTAGTAATTGATAAGATTACCGATTTAAAAAAAAATTATCCATAATAGACACATTGAGTAGAAGCATTAAAATTGTTATTACATGCATCTACTTCTTATTTTGGTAAATAAGCTGAATATAAATGTTTATGTTGCACACTATAAACTAGTTTACTTCTTGAACTTATATGTTTTCACTCATTAGAAAAGTATTCATTAAACTCAGTTATCTAATAAATTGAATGTAACAACTAATGTTTTAATAAGTCTCAAACATATTAAGTTGATGTTTATAATATCTCTGATTATCAGTTGATTATTTGTCTACTAAAATAAAGTCAGTATAGAGATGAAGTTAGAAATGTTCATTTTAAATCGAAAGTAGGTTAAATAAAAGATCAGTGGCTTTGATCAAAGAAGGCTATGATGCTTGTAGCATTATAGATTTGGAAAATGCAATTGATACAAGTTGAAAACGAGTTTTGATCGTATAGTCTTATTTATCTTCCAACAAATCGGTTGCATTATTTCAGTTCAAAGTCTTATTTGTCTTTATGAACCGGCGAACTATTCTACTTATTCTAACTTAACGTATATAAACCATAATAAATGAAAAACTCATTGATATTCTGATTTGTATTCACTGAAATGACAACATTATTCCGTAAGAAATGTTATTTTAGTCTGAACATTGATACGGTTGCCGAAACAAACATAATTGAGGGTACCGAGGTCTAATGAGACGAGTAGTATAACTAGCCAGCCATCTTACGTGTAATGTGACTCAAGGCTGTACATATACATGTTATAATTACTATAACTGAGGTTGAATGACTAGGTTTTTCTTTCATTCTCCTGCTCAGTGTTAGAACAGATTCCATCAATACAAATAAGTACTGACCTCTTTACTAATGAGCAATGTGAAATTACCACAGAAAATGTAAAAGCAAAATGTCATACCTTTATTTATTTGTATTGGTTGGTTGTCACTTCCCATTGATGTTTAAGACTAAAATTGATCAGCCTCTCTTGGCATATAGAATATATGACAAGAATTTCCTCGATATTGCCCTTTAGATTACAAGCATTATGAGTGAAGATGGATGATTGCTAGCAACAGAGTTTAGGACGCATATTTTGTCTTATTTGTACCCCGTCAGCTGGATGCATCTACATTTCACAGCTGATGTTCATCCTGTAACTCAGTAGCTAAGTAAGTGACGTAATTGCGTTTGAAGCGAACTGTACTGGGTTCAAGTTCCGAAGTGCATATCAACTTTGGAATGTAGTTACATCTAAATGATAAGTCCCAAATCGGACGAAACGAGCTTCTTGAATTTTACTACTAGCCACCATCCTTCTCTGTCTATAATCATTACACCCTTATGCTTACATGACTTACTGAATAGGAATGATGACAGATTTTACACTACTACATGGGTTGACTTTATGGCTTGAAGTTCAACATTGTTCAAATTAAAATTGGCTGAAATTTTAAAATTCTAATCACATTTTCCCCAAATTCCTTACTTATCAAACAATGAATTTGACTCTACTAAGTGTAGATCACCTGATACAGTGTTATGGCTTGATGTTTCGATTTTTTTTTCATAAACCTTATTTCCGTATTGTATGTGTAAATGAATATATCCAATGAATATCCAATGGCCAATAATTATAAAGCTTATTTCATGATAAGTCGATATGTTTTTTCTAAAGATTTAGTGTTTTGCACATGTGGACACTTCACCAACTACAAGTATCTTCATCAGATTTTATGAAGGTGTGCTCTGGTGTTCAGTATGTTAGATTAAATAGTAGAATAATATAGTGATACAATATTTAATGGGTTTATTCTGATAGTCAGGGCACCAAGTTTAAAAAATGACAATCAATAATTCTAACTGTTCTGTAAAAACATAATTCTTCAGAATTTTGAAACAAATTACAGTACACATTCATGAACATTTGTTTTTAGATATATTTTCCGAATAACTCTTTTCTAAACTAAACAGAATTAATGCATAGACTTGAAAATATGAACTCAATTTTTGTCAGCTCTATTACATTGAATCAGAATTCTTTAAGATAAAATATAACTTGCTTTACCAACCACAATATCTGTACAATGAAATAGTTTCGAAAGAATTTATTGCTTTTTATTAGTGTTTTATACTATATTCAGTTTCTTTTTTATTTTTTAAAACAAAAACAGACTGTCCAATGTGGAATTTCGATGGAAGTAGTACAGGTCAAGCTGAAGGTTCCAATTCTGATGTTTATTTAAAACCATGTGCAATCTTTCGTGATCCATTTCGTGGCGGTAAAAATAAATTAGTCTTATGTGAAACTTATGATTATGATAAGAAACCACATGGTAAGAATTTTGTTTGATTGTTTATTTTTGTTGTTGATTTTAAAAATATCAATTGTTTGCTTTTATTCCTGTTACTTTAATGTGTAATAATTTTGATTCAATGTACAAATGTCTGAATAGATTATGCAATATACAACAGCACTAGTAATGATAGAAATCAATTCCGGTCTAAGTCACTTCTTTATATGGGCTCTTGTTACTACGTACTTATTCCAAATAAATTAAGTAAACTCGGAACCAAAAATGACTGAAGACCTACTTCCTCAACTAGGCATCTAATGAACGTGTAGACACGTTCAGCTGGCGTGTTTGCAATTCATCTGTGTTATAAGACTAAATAGTCATTTTTATTCTTTCTCTATTTTTCTAATGAATTTTCACTTGATCTATATATTGACCTTGAAATTCAGTAACTGAAATTCTCGCATGATCGCAACGTTTTCCAAAAATCAATCAATCAATCTTATTTTAAAATATATTAATATTTTGTTAGGTCTATCCCCAACATTTGTGTAGTATGTAATTATACTTTACTATATAGTAAAGATAGACAGATAGATAGATAGATAGATAGATAGATGTGTGGATAGATAGGAAAATAAAATATAAGAAAAGTAGAACATTGTAGAATACAATATGCTACAGTAATGTCATTTTTATTTTTTCAATAAAATAACTTTTTAATGAAAAAGAGAAAGAAGAAGAAAAAATGAAGTAGGTAAATTATGATCAAATCGAAAAGGGAAACTGACACTAGATGGTAAAATGAAATAAAGATACAAAAACAAATCGACTGTCTATTCATCAGTATGACTGATTTTGAATTTTATTATTTACATTTGTCAATTGTTCATTGTTAATTTACACATTTTTTGAAACCATGAATCGATCAATGTTAGACCACCATTAGAAACCTGGAAGCACTGGACGGCCGTTTCGTCCTAGTATGGGACTCCTCAGTAGTGCGCATCCACGACTCCTGCATCCCGCAGGGTTCGAACCCAGGACCTTCGGTAATGTGCGCGAACGCCCTAACCGTTAGACCATTGAGCCGGCATCTAACTCCGTGAATTTGATCAAGTTAGACATTAACACCGTCTAACGTCCTTGACTATCTATCATAGTCGGAACATTAAATTTAATTGTATAACAGGAGAAACATAGAACAATTGTTTTATCCTTGTTTAACATTTTCGAAATCAATAAACAGAGTGAAGAAATATGCCTGTTTAGTTCATAATTCACCTTTTTAGTCAGTCAGAACTTCGTACGTAAGTACATCAGTTCCGGCTGCCATACCACATTGGCACAGAGACACAATTGTCAGATCAAATCCCATAGTAGCAGAGGTAGTCAATGTGTTAACAGTAATCGGAGAGATTTAGAGTTCGGCCATATTATTCAAGAAGTAAAATCTAGCTAAAGAAACTTAAATAGAAAAAGATTACCCACTAAAATTAATTATTTTTTTTTCTCTGGGTTTTTCAAAGGTTTTTTTCTTCTTCTAATATATTCCACTTCTATTTTTCTAGCTTCAAATCATCGATATCATTGTAATCTTGTCATGGAGAAAGCAAAATCTCATCAACCATGGTTTGGTATTGAACAAGAATATGCTCTATTAGATATTGATGGTTATCCATTACAATGGCCTAAAAATGGTTTTCCTGCACCTCAAGGTAATTTTAATTTATAAGTTTTGATTCTTTCTATTCTTTTTATTTTTTTTATTCGTTCATTCATTATTTACAATTGTAATAAAAATAAGTAAAATTAATAAAATTATCTTAGTGAGTTTATTTATATTCCACTTAGTGAAAGTTTTATTATTTGTTTACTTCAGAGTTCATCTAAATCAATGAATGAAATTAGTTCACTCTCATTTTATTATTATCGGTTCTATTAAACAATCTGATTAAGTTGTACTTAGAATTAAATTCCATTTAACTATCATCAGTTGATAAATTGTAACAATTACTTGAATGTATGATAATGTACTGAAAATATGGGTCAAAAAAAAGCCAGTCTGGCATATACATTATTATGATCTGTCTTATAGGCAAAACTACAATGAGAAACTTAAAACAACAAACTACTACTAACAGTATCATTCCAATGCAGCTTAGGTCAATAGAAAAACAACTAACTGATAATGAATTGAACTATTTGAGAAAGTACTACTTCACAGACTAACTGTTTCATTGCAATATGGATCCCAAACCAAATTTTACCTAGAATAGGTAATAGGAATCCAGGATGCTCGCTTCATCCTGTATAGGACTGGCCAGATGAATGTACATGCATTTCAGAGTTGTTATTCACCCCGAGACTCGAACTCGGCACCGTGTGCTCCTAATATCGTAGCGTTATTCACTTAATCACAGAGTACACATTGATCAAATTTCACTTAAAATATCAACAACAGAATAATTCAAACCATTTCAAACTGAATTAACTGGAGTTTATTTTTGAAGTTTTAAGATTTAAATTCTTGGTCAAAGTAAATCATAACCTTATTGACCTAAATATTAATTCACTAGTTGTAGTGAAAAAAATCAAAACAAAGGTACACTTCAGTGTTAATTAATTAATTTAGTTCGATTAATAAAAACCTCTTTCTTCCCATAGCTCTTTCTATTTCACCGTAATCGTTTTCTGTAAATTCTTAAACTTTATTCATTGAGTAATAATATCAACTGGAATAACTTAGTCAAACATTCAGTGATTGTTAGGTATTTTGAAAAGAAATACAAGCAAAAAATACACATGAAAAAAATGTCAATAAGTTCTAGAGGATTAGTGCTAGTTTTGACATACCGATTAGCGTTTATCCACTAGAATATTTGTTTATATCAGTATTATTATTGAAAACCGGTTAACCGTTCATACTTTGTGAATGTACAGCATCTTATAAGTATAAATGTTTGTTTTGTTGAGTTTGTAATGCTATGATTAACATTTGTACTCTTACAATTCATGAAACTTTCGGTCTCTTACATATACGAAACATATGTTTTTTGCTCAATTAATTGGTTTTTTTAAAGCTAAGCTTCTAGAGATAAGGCGATACGGTAATTCAAAGCTATTTATGACGAATGTTACATACTATTTTAAGTATAATTTCGATTACAAATATTGGTGCTGAAAAGTTGATCCGTTGTTTAGTGTTCTGTTGAATAGTTTATCTTTGAAGAAAAGGAATATTAAAATTCATGTCAATAAGAATTAAGTGCTTAATTAAATAGAGATCTCTCAATTTGGTAGCAAAATTCCTACTATCTCTTGGTTTAGTGAAGTTATAATCATTTTTTTCTGAAAAATAATAACAATTGTGACCTAGTTGAAGCTTTCTTTTGCTCTCTTTTACTCATCATATTCCCAAAAGTTAACTGATGATACCCACTTAGTAGCTTGCACTCAATTGAATATAAGACGAATAAATTCAAAAAAAATGTTTAATTATGTACTTTCATATCATGCTAATTATTTCTTTTAAATTTCCTAGGACCTTATTATTGTTCTGTTGGAGCGGGTAAAGCACATGGTCGTGATATACCTGAAGCTTTATACAGGGCTTGTATGTATGCAGGAGTTAAAATTTGTGGTAGTAATGCAGAAGTTATGCCATCACAAGTAAGAATTCTTATTATAAATATTATTATCATTATCTGAACAAAAACTGTATATGCAGTCAAATGATATTTTGCATTTATAAGCTGACGCTGGTCATTAGCCATTATTTATAAGTGAACAGTTATTAGGAAGTCATTTCGTTTTGGCTTAAAATTACTTTTGTAGACCTACCATCACTCAATGTCACCATTTGGTAGCTATCTTGATTCTTGAACACCACATCATACATTGTCTTAGAATGTTAACATCAATAAATTCTTCGTAACGAAATTATCAGGACGGAATAAGGACTCAAAGAGTTTCTAAATTTTAGAGTCGGGATGTAAGTTATTTTATGATCCAGAGAGATTGCACTTCAAAACGAATAAAAGTCGTTTGAATGATAAATGGAGAATTACATTCTCAGGTGAAGTAAATTACAAAAATACCTTCTATCATGGTCCGACAGTTGAAAAACTATTGAAAATCGGTAAGAACTGAATAGATAATATCAGTTCATCATGAAAGCCATCTTCAAATTACAGTCATCTCCACATTGGTACATTGATAAATGATTATTGTGTACAAACCAATGACTAGTTTTGTGACGGATTTGTTAGGTTCCAGTCCTAGAATGTTGTGACCTAAGAAGTCAATTAAGTTCAAATTACTAACTGGTAGTGTTGATGACCTTAAATTGTGAATTAATTGAGATTGAACATGTAAAAAAACTTAATTGCTACTTAGTTATTTAAATACGTAATAATGAATGAATGACTTATATGTTCTGAGTTTAATTATCGTAATTATCGTATATGTACATATTGTATGGATGTTTATGTTATCGCGAGTGTACACTGTTGATAAATCTCAAACGAAGATATAATTGTTTCCAAGCGCTCTGTAATCTCCAGTGGTTCATTAACATTTAGAAATGTTGAAATTATAAGGTGAAAAAAAATAATGTGCTTTTCTAGCTTTTCTATTCCTTGATATCAGTTTTTCAAGACTTTTAACTGTTTTGATTTTAATTTGACTAAAAATCTCAGTGAATAAAATTATTATCACACTGTATACACCATACTATATGTTTAGTGTTATTTAATGTGCACTCCATTCTATGCTAGTTGTATCTAGGTAGTACTTTCCAAAGTATCCTAGTTATTACTAATCACATTATAAAGTATTTTATTTCATCTAAACAATAGAACTTCTGTGGTTTCATATTGTACATACAAAATTAATAACATTCACATATTGACACCGAATTTGTAGGATAAACTGTTCGTGATGTTAAAATTAAAATGTATAATTAACGCCACCAGTTAATTAGGTAAGGAAAATTGTTTATTGATAAAAGTGTAATCAAGTTGAGGCATAATTGAAACAATAAATATGGCTGAACCATTCTACTTGTAACGTGGTGGCTGGAGGCAGTAGATAGGAAACTAAACCTAGGATTTGTGCGATTTGGTACTCGTTAGAAAGGTCTACCTGTAATCTTGAGGGAACTGGCTATCTCTAGAGGGTTCAGTCTCCCGTCATCCAGTTTCACATTCGGAGGCGTTACTAGTGAACCATTCGAATTGTGACTGATTTCTTGTAGGACCGAGATGTATTCACAATTGATTTACAATCGATCACTGGTTAGTGACCAATGTCACCTAGACACAGGGTTTCATGTCGACCACCTGTAACAACCAATTTACATCTTAATTCAGTGCATGCAATCTGGAGTTGTTTAGATTAATGGTCATGTTGCAACTTGATCAACAGGAGTTGATAAGCATGAAGAACGACCCTAAACAAATAATACCGGTCTCTACTCATTGAAAAATCAATCGTAAATATTCTTAAATTAGCAAATTCCAGGAAGCAACAGAAGAGTGGTGTCAAACTTTTTGTACTGATTCAAACTTTAAAAATCAATAAATTTTTATGGTTATTTTCAATGTATCCACATAAAATTAGTTCAAATATAAGTTTTTATTACAGTAATTGTTATTGCGTTCTACGCAAAGGTCAACATTGTAGTTGATTTTTATAACATTTTTAAAGTTTACCAGTAAGTAAGTAAAATATTTCATTGTGCCTGGAAAGAAAGTCAAAGCCTTGTTTATTAAACTTATAAACTTCAGATAGTTACCTATTTTTTAGTGTACGTTTGTACTAACTCTACAGGTAACTCGTGAAAATAGAATGATGAACCGTTTTTGTGTGTGTGTGTGTGTGTGTGTGTGTGAATGGATGGATATCTCAATATTAATTCTATTTATATCATGACATTTCAGTAAATAACCACAGTTGACAAGACCAAACAGATTTTACAATAAACCTTCTATTATAATGTGTTTAATTTTCTTAGTGGGAATTTCAAGTTGGACCATGTGAAGGTGTCTCAGCTGGGGATCATTTATGGATGGCTAGATTTATATTACATCGTGTCGCCGAAGATTTTGGAGTTATTGTTTCACTTGATCCAAAACCAATGCCTGGGAATTGGAATGGTTCTGGAGCGCATACAAATTATTCAACTATTGCTATGAGAAATCCGAAATCAGGATTACAGTAAGAAAGATATTTATTTATTTTTCTTTTTTTAAAGACTGCTTGGATGTATTTATTTTCAGATGAAACTGGTCAACAAGATATATATAAATATTGATTTAAGGAATTTAATTTTGATTTTTATCAGTAAATAAAATTCATTCATCTTGATGAGTATGATAATAAATGAACATAATAGTCACATCTAAATCTCTTTAACTATTAACTGACTTTGATTAACATAAAACGATAGTATTAATGATGAAAGATTGGAATATAGTGATATTTCTGTTCAATAATATACATTTCGGTAAATTATTAAAAGGAACTTTATTGGATGATATGTTATCATTTTTATGTAAGTATTTTCTTAAACTTGAATTCACGTAATGATTCAGTTCTAATCAATATGTGTACAGTACTTACTTGAATTACTTACGCCTGTTACCCCCAATGGAGCATAGGCCGCTCACCAGTTTTCTCCAACCAACTCTGTCCTGGGCTTCCGTCTCCAGTTCTGTCCAATGTTTGTTCATTCCTCTCATATCTTTCTCTATTTCTCGGTGTAATGTGTTCCTTGACCTTCCTCTTTTCCTTTTGCCTTGAGAGTTCCATGTGAGGGCTTCTCTCGAGACGCAGTTCGGTGCTTTTCGTAATGTGTGTCCTATCCAATTCCACCGCTTCTTCCTGATTAACTCCTCCACTGGAATTTGGTTTGTTCTCTCCCACAGTACGTTGTAATATGTGTACAGTAGTGACTTAATATTATCCAATAACAAGTACACTGTATTGAATAATACTGATGAATTATTAATGGTATCTTTTATCTTAATAACTTACGTGAATATTAGAATATTATTTTACATTGATGATTTGACAAAAAACGGATTAATTGCAAATTAGAGAACTGTTTTTATACATAAATTTTTAATAGAAACTAGTAAACGAATTGTTGTTGAATGGTTCTTTTAGTGTACAGTAAACTATTCACTGAAATGGTTGTCATGTGAAAGTATGTTTTAAAATCCAAAGTAGGAAAAGTGTTACTTTATCAGTTCACAACTTGAATTATTGTTTGTTTGTGCAATTTAGTACTTCGCAACCATAACTCCTTGTTGGTTGGTACTTTTAAGGCAAACATTTTTAATGGAGAAAAATATTAAACAAATCAATAAACATTGTAATTTATCAATTCTCTAATTCGACAATATCTCCTTTCAAATTAAACCAAAAAAAAAATCAATTTATTGACTAAATTAACCAAATAACTTGATATGGGCTTTTGTTAATCAATTATGAATTCAGTCGTTGACATGAATTGTTGTGAGTGTCAGTTAATAATTCAACTATCGTGCTCATTATTCACAGATCACTTCATTGGCAAAACATGTGATCATCATATGATGGCAAAATCATATTTACTGATCAGACATTGTGTCCATCCAATTGTTTGTGTCACCAGTGATCGAGTTAACAGTATGATCAATAGCTAGATTGACATTGAAATTGACTTCTTTTAATGTCATATGCTTAGAAGTTAAAACGTTATCAATAGCTGTCATAAATGACAGGCAGAACAATATCCAGTCCTTTTAATAACATGCTAATAATGCTTGTAACATAAAGGGCAAAATCGAGGCAATTTTCACAAGATGCACAAATGTCAAAAGCGATTGATCATTTGCAGTCCTCAGTATTAATTGGAAGATTCAAACAACCAATACGAATAAATTAGACTCCACCCCACTGCACAAACAAGTGATCATTATTTTACTTACGAATTTATAGATGTACTATGATCTATGAATACAGTTTTAACCTATACTGAAGCAAGATAATAATAATAATATTAATAGAAATTACCAGTTGCAAGTCTTAGTACTCAATTTTTAGCGACAGCGCCTATTTGCATGATACCCAAATTAAAACAGGCAGTTGAAATGAGGTTCAAACCTGTCAACTACTGGTTGGAAAGAAAATGCTTAATCCACTAAGTTGTTTTACGTACAGCATACACTTACATCAAATTGCTTTCTAAATTGTTTCAATGACGGTAGTATCAGTTGACGAATAAATAAATCAACTCAAGTCTTACTTTTAAGAGACATTTATCATTTGTCTAGTAGAATAGGAAGGGTTTTGTGACCAAAAGGAACGACCTTCACCTTCCTAAGTGGGTATTATTTCCTCTTTCTTTAAGCAGAGTTAGATAGTAGCTAGCAGTGAGATCTAGGACGTGCGTTATGTCCTATTTGAAACTCACCAGCTAGATATATCCGCACCTACGTGTTGATTTTCACACCAGGACTAGAAAATCAGCGTCAAACTAGATCAGTTGGAAGAGGATAAAAACAAAATTATCACAGAAACACAATACAGATGACGCCGCTTCAGATAATAAACCAATATTACCAGGGTAGGTTTTACATTGTGGTTCGTATATCAGTAATTATCTGGTCAGATTATCAAGAATATATTACACCAATATATTACCTAATGTTAAAAAACTTTGCCTTTTCATTGCACCATTCAAATTTATCTAAGTATCTAAGTGCTTTAGAACATTTGTCAACGTAGTTTTGCTTCGCATGAATTCTAGATCTTCTAAAATGTTTTTCCAGTTATGGTGATTATTTGAAAAGAAACAATCACGTGCTTTTGAAGGTGAAGGTCGTTTCTCTCGATCACATGAACAAGTGGGGAATATTTTGTAAAAGTACGACCTGAGTCAAACAAGGAAACTAATTTCTTTGTTAACTGATTTCATGGTCACTAAAATAATTTAATAGGCTATTCGATATGTGTTTACAGTTGGAATGACGATTGTTAAACATTGTTGTTAAACAGTGTATCGTCCAAAAAAGTGCCGTTTAACAACAAATCTGAAACACTAGTCGAAATCAACTGAAGTACTAGCTAAATTCTGAGAATATACAAATCTATTTCCCAACTTAATTCGATACCGGACGTTAGCTTAAACCACATACCATGTGGTCACTACTACTGTTCAGTCACTGACTGCAAAGTTTTCAGTCTCAGTCAATTACTGACACAGCTTACTCATTTGTTTGTTCTATTAGTTTCAACTCATTATTTTCAATATTAAGGGTCAATCAGAAGTGGCCAAACGAGGCTACTTTCTGACAATTGGAATTGTTTTAAAGTACACCATTGGTCAAGAAATGGTTTCATTTTCTAAGGCGAAGGAATATACATATATAAATGGGTATTTGTGTGATTCGGTAGACAATTAGCTTTTCTCTTCTACTTTAGCCTTCTCGCTCAAGTAGTTAGTTTCGGGAATTAGCACGTACTATGATCAGATGTCGGACAGCGCTCATTATAAGTTTTCAAACAAATTTCTATGAAATCCGTTACTTGGTAAGCCTCTAATCACCCCGGTACTCGTATGAGAGCGATGATATACAACTTCAAAAATAAGACTAAACGAAAATGCTGTTGCCTCAGTACTCCTTAAGTTCTAACAGGTGTTCACATAAAATTACTTACTTACTTACACCCGTTACCCCCAATGGAGCATAAGCCGCCGGCCAGCATTCTCCAACCTACTCCGACTGGAGCCCCTCTGGGGCTACTGCCACTTCCAAGCCCGGATAAGGGAGCACGGTTGGGAATGAGGTTGACGACCTCATCCCATAACAACACTTACTCAGAAAACATAATTCAAATAAAATTAATCACAACTAAATACAAACAGTCTATCAAAATTTACTTTTCCGGTCAAACCAAAATAAATTTCATACATTAAACTGAAATATTCACAAAGTAGCTGTTTTATTGATCAACTTCAAAAATCCCAGCTCTGAAGTAACAGTATATACGTTTAATTATGGTTGGAATGACACATTGTTAAATTTAGTGAACATGAAATCAATATCGAATTAGTCTGCGCTAGTAACATTGATTCTAGGTTCCTGAAAGAAGCATTACTCAACAGTAATTCATGCAGATAATAATATCAATAATGATCTTCTCTAGACAAAACACATTAATTATACGTTTACGTGTTTTGACGAAACAGTATCCGAATGTTTTAAAATTCCATATTTCATTTAACATAAACATTCAAAATCACAATAGATTAAAATTAATGTCATTGTGAAAAAAAAATAATATTGCTATCATCATTGTTTTATATTTAGAGCAATAGAAGATGCTATTGAAAAACTTTCGCATAAACATTTGGAGCATATTCAGTCCTATGATCCTAAACATGGTTTAGACAATCAAAGACGTTTGACTGGTAACCATGAAACAAGCAGTATTAATGATTTTTCATCTGGTAAGATGATATTTTAAAAGTATTAACTTCTACATTATTATCTGTTTTATGTTTTCATCTGTATTCATTCAGTGGATACACTAATATGCACTTTGTACACTAAGCGGTTCATTTGTGTAATAGTTTTCCAATACTTTTTTGTACTATCAATGTCTTTAATATTCATTAATTATTCTTCTAAGGTATTTTCAATACTTTTTTTCTGTATTTATCTGATTCTTTGATTAAACGGCTGACTTGTAGAACAAGTATGGAAATCTTGTAGTTGGGCGACTCTGATTCACTGTCTTAGTCTATTGAGACAGAATCATCGGCAAACTTATTTGATTACAAATTGCTGGAATCTGAAGTCTTATTAGCACTAGTTCAACACATTCTGTGTACCACTGGATATGACATACAATACTTTCCTGCTAGCCTGAACCTAATCTACACTCTTGGAGAAATTGTTAGTTAAACTAACTGACTGTACTGTCGTCATATTCAAATTTTATGCTGTTACAGTCTAACAAGCGGACGTACAGTCCCACTGTAATATATGAACGGAGAAACGTATATACCGTTAGTCCTGTTTCACAACAATCTAGGCGTAATTCTAACTTATGACCTTAAAATCACGACTGATTGCAATTTCTCACATGCTACTTTGATTCAATCTCATTTCTTTTTTCATTCATATATTTATCAGTATCTTTCTTTGACACTTCTCTACTTGATATTTTATAGGTGTTGCAAATAGAGGCAGTAGTATACGTATTCCAAGACAAGTTGCTGAAAATGGTTATGGTTATTTGGAAGATCGACGTCCATCATCCAATTGTGATCCATACATGGTCACTAGAATGTTAGTGGAAACAACATGTCTTTAATGATTAATACTACAATTTACAAAATATTACATACAACACAAAGAAATAAAATTTTATCAAACAAAATTAATTCTACGAAATAAATTCAATGTTCCCATTTTTAAATTTAATATAGTCAGAGTTCATTTTTGTTAGTGATCACAATAAATTTACTATTGTATATTCATTGTTTTGATCATCAATATTCTCTAAATCATCAGTCAATTTTTGAATCAATTGTTGTCAACCATGTCATCATCGTCATCAATATCAGCGGCTGAAGTGACATTTACCGCCATCATTAGATGTTTTAATGATCAATATTTTTTTTCTCTATTTTCTAACATTTTCTATCAATTAATTTCTAGTGTACTTCAATAAATAAATTTAGCTACTGTCCTAATCACACTTTATTTCCATTGAACAATATACAAACTATGGAAATTCAAAAAAAAAATTATATTCACTGTGGATGAAAATACTTTTTCTTCTTCTTTGAGTAAAAACAATAAAACATACATCATCCTTTTTTCCATTTGATTGTTTTATGTTACTCGTCATCATCATTATCATTATCATCTAAACTCATTGTTTAGAATGTTTATTTCACAAAAACAAGTTTTCATTTATTTTTGTTGGTTTTGTTTTTTTAATTTAACAATTACGAATAAAAAATAATTCATTTCATTAAATTCTCATCAGCTGCTTACAATCTATGATATTTTAAAATCAAATTTATCTTCAGAGTTGACATACTTATTTATAAATACGAAAATAATTAACGATGAACGATGCAAATGAATATTCCAATAAAGTTTGCTTTAAAGTGTGTGAAAGTCCCAGGAAGTCAAACTAGTGATTAAAATTCATGAATGAATTAACTGAAAAAAAATTCACGGTAATGAAGTATGGTATGAGTTGAAATTAGTCAATGAGAATTTAATTATGAATTCGAGAAAAATGAAAACTTGGGAAAGAGCTTAAAGATGAATGTACCATTATCAAGGTAACATCACATTATGGAAGATTTATTCATATACGTATAAGTATATCAATTTCTATGATAATTCCGATTTTAGAACACCATAAGTTGTCAGTAGCCTAATAAGAATCTAATGAAATAAAATGAATTCATATTATTCTGCATCAAAACTGTGAAAAGTAAATATTGGATGTTATGAAAGACAAAACATCTTAGCCGTTCTTATAATTCATATAACTGTAAAACTTTCCCATTTATCAACAACCTATTTGCAAACAAAGAACGATAGTGGATAGAGGATATACTAAGAATTAAACCATTCGATATGCTTTCTAAAATAAAATCACTTATAAAAAATTGTCCAGAAGGGTAATGATTCTATATTTACAGAGAATCCATTCAGTTTAAAAGTATCTGAACGATAAACTACTGACATACATACTAAGAAATAATCCTCATGTTTTATGACGTCAGCAAGAGATGTTAGAGAGCTTCCCCCAATGTACAATATGTGTTTCCTTTCACAAAATCAGGTGCACAAACCAATCTTTCATTCAAGATTTATTCAGTAAAATAGATATTTACACAAAATCTAAGATATAAAAAATGTGACATAAGATATCCGTAGTACCTGTTATGAAACTTTGTATACAAGAACATGAAAGTAATTTTGCTGCATAAAAAGACAAATCAATCAATATCAACCACTAAGTTTCTTTTTGAACAGATTCATATTTACCATGGTAGTTTTAGAACCATCTGTGTTAGATCGAAGAATCATGTCAATCCGTATTTGTTTGAATCTGACACTTTTACGTTATAGCGTTAGCATTAGGGGGAGGTAAATTTATTGGATCTGGAGTCAATAAAACCAATTAGTTCTATACAACTACCTTATTGTGGTTTGAAACTTTTCAAGAGTCTGCATCTGTAGCTCCTCGAGAGGTCGAGCATAGAATTCTCAGTTCTCTCGTTTAACTCATTAATGCTAGACCACAGTGAGTGTAGATTCAATGGTCTACATTTTTAACTTCAGTTTAATGTTGATATCCTAAAATGATCATTCAGTGTGGCTGGTTGTAACTGTCCCACTACCGAGAAGTTTGAACTCCATCAGTCAAAACGTCTTGTTATAACTTCAGGAATTTATCTCAAATTAATCTTCAGAACCAGTCGAATTGGTTTATGGAAGAGATGATGTCTGGCAGTGGAATATGTAACTTATGATCTGTCCTATTTGAAACTCGTAAGGTGAATATGCCTGGATGCTAGTGTAGACAGTCATATCAAAAATCAGTATTAAAAAGTACTCTTGGTTCTGTATAAAAAAGTACTAGCTTAATTCAACGATCTCATTTGTGGTGAATTAATCTTCTGACAGTACAGATCGAACACCGGCTATTTAGAGCGAGAAATTGCACAGTGAAATTTTTACAAGAGTTTTCTGATAAAATATCTAATTCTGATGCATCACTTCAACATTCTACCTCTCATGATTCTGTCCATCGAATATTGATAACAAAAATGCTGTGGTCAAGAAATGGCCAATCGGTTTTAAATATCATTTTATAAGCAAGGACAGTTTATAATGTTCCGGACTTTTTAATGTCTGTATGAAAAGTCATGTGTTTGAAAAAATGATCTTCAAGTATAATACTTGACTATATCAGATGTTGATAGGTATATTCAGTAATGTTTTATGTGATCTGCTCTATACCAACTATTAAACTGAATCCTAAAACAATCTATATTGAAAGAAAACAGTGAGGAAATTTACTTTATCATTACGGTCGATACCATATTTGTACTTTGCAAAATGGCAAGCGACAAGGATTACACTTTTGTGCACTCATTGAGATCTTATTGTATCACCCTTCACGAAAAATTATATATCAATACTACATGTGAATTTGGATTAAATTAGTGCTTTCCCATCATTATTAAGGTAGACATGAGAATATTTTTTTGTGTTTTCAGGGTAAATCTCACCATGAACTGGTATTAGCAAAAGAACTATTAGAAAACATCAGTCAGTCAACTGCTACTTCCAACTATAATATTACCATTGTAAATTCAGGCCATCTAAAACTGATGAAAAGCCTTGAAGTATAATGGATTAATGTGATACTGGAAAAATTATCCTTCGCACTTTATTTAAATTAACCAAGAGATCAGGGTGTATGGTGTTCTCAGTAGTTTTGGAGTTCACTTTAATTCGTATAAGGAGTCATATCCAAGACCTTTAGATATATTGATAAACATAATACCGTTTGATTGCTTACTTTGAATTCAACAAGCAATACAGTCATGAAACGATTCCACGGTATTATCAGTATCGTATAGATTTCACATGATTTTTGTCAATTTTCAAGCCGTTTATTACCATTATGTTCAGGTCATCATCCAGAGAATTTCGATCATGAACCGAGATATATATTCACTCTATCCAGTTACTCTTCACCTTAAAAGATCATATCGCAGATGTATCTATCACTCTATTTTGTCTAGTCACTCTCAAAGTCATCATAATTCATCTGGATCTAACAGTCACTTACGTATCACTTGTAAAAAAATACATTTAACACAACGGGGTAGATGCCTTTAGATGAAATCAGCTGTTCAAAACGTTTTCTAACAAACCGAACATATTAAACGGCTAGTTAACAAATGTTACCACTATTTGTTATAGTAATCCTTAAAATAATTTCAACGTTATATAGATTCTTCATTCGAATGTTCACTTACATTCCTTTTTCTGTATAATATATCTTCCAATGTAGAATAGAAGTTTTCCTTTAGTTTAACAATACTAATCAGAATTTTCAATATCATATGATTTTCAAAATTATAAACAGGATTAATGCATGATTTGTTATTGTGTTTTTTTAATAGAAAAAACGCAACACATATATCACCTTTTTTTTACTACGTAATAATATAAACAACTAAACTTTAATAAACCATATGATTATGGCTAGTTTTACATACTTTGTACTGGATAATGCTAAATCTTATCACATCTAATGTTTCATCACTTGATTTGTACAGAAAGGTATTAAGGTGAACAAAGTATTTATCAACTTAACATATGTATTGATCAAAATTCAATGTTTATCAGATTTTGTTTTCTTAATACTGGCATTTAGTGTGTATTTTACATTGGGATTCTCATAGTGATTTCTTTATTCATTTCACTTATGCCATTGTATTCTATAGTGTTGAATAAATGTCATAGTTCGTGATCTTTCATGTTACGGTTTCGCTTAAGTATGAAGTGATTTAATTGATTTCTACTCGTAGTAGAATAAACGTGATAGTGATTAGGGATAAAGATGATTTTTGTCTTTACGGAATACTTCTCAAATGTTATCAGTATTTAAATCAAATCTAAAAATCAATCATGAATCATTTTGCGAAAAAACCAAAAATAAAACTATCTGACTCAGCAACATTACACATATTTACGTTCTTAGTCAAGGCTTATTGGTGGAAAAAGAAGGTCTTTTGTAATGTTAAATTATTGTCCTGTATTATCTAGATTTATAAAAAGTATGAACATATACACTTGGCTTCTCTCTTCCCGAGAGTAGAAATTATGAAATTACATTTCTGACAGTCTACACAACATTGGATTGGTAGTAAACTTAAGGAAGAATGTGGTGTTTGATGGTTAAAATCATTTGAACCATGACCTAGACATGGATTTGGTACTGTCTGAAACTTACCAGAAGTATTTATCTGCAACTTTCAGAAGTATATTGGTTAGATCTGTACACCGCTGTATGCTAGTTTATTTGCCCAGAACTCATCTGTACTCTAAAAAACTAAAAGTCCTGAGTTTAGTCCCCTGTGAGATCGTGGATACGAATTAATTGTGAAGTCATGTTAATATGAGACAAATGTTGAATGCTTCCTGGTTTTATGCTGTTATGTAACCAAGACCAGCCTGTAGTATAAACTGTAAAATTAACATTTTTACGTAACTTAGTCTCATTCCTGAAGTTTATTCCGTTCCTTCTTTATTGCTTCATTTTTATTGCTTATATCAATGACTGATCTTAGCTAAACAGTCACCGAAAACGAGAAACAGTCGGATAAATGTTCCATCCGAATACAAGATCCTTCAGCCGTCCTCACTCCCGATCCCATCAAGGATCAAATACGGGACCTTCGATTTCACGGTGGACACCTATATATATATATATATATATATATATATATATATATATATATATATATATATATTATGGAACCACCTAACTAGTAATCATAATTCAAATGATTTGTAACCTTACTGTTGCTTTTGATGTTTATTATCTCGAAACAATTTAGTTAAACGAACGATGTCGGTTGTATTGGGAGTTTCCCACTAAAAGAAGGATACCTATGTAATCATTTTTAGTATGTTATATCGTATGACTAAAGTACTTGGTAAGTGTAGAGATATGACGTCAATGCTGTGGCTATGTACTGATGTGCAGCAGCTCAAGAAAATAAATTATTCCACACCAATGAGACCATTTCCAGAGAATTTTTGAAAAATTGATTTTTAAAATCATGAAAATCGTAAAAATTCCACTTCTAATCAAATTTTACATAGCAATGATTAATAACTAATTAAATAATTATTTTGGTGGAAAGAAAATGAACGCATAGACAAACTGAGCACATATTTTAACAACGTTTAAACCTATCACTATTTCATCATTATATATGATCACATACTCAAAATTTATACTTCGAGATACGAAAAAACGACAATCGATTTCATGTCAGCCAACAGTTCAGCATTTATCATGTTATAAAGCCACGGTGTAATTTTCACTGCACTTTTATGACATGATAACCGTCGAAATGTTTATCTATTTCTATTTGACCTCTTATATGAATACATAATTATAAACAGACTTGAAATATTGTAAACGCATGATTGTATCTAACCGAAACATTCATTTGAAAAATAAATAGGTCAAATAGATGAACTAATCACATGTTCATATTTCTCATTAATATTTATCTGAAAAGGTCACTAAGTTAGTTTAAATTGAAATATACAAAATTAGACAGAAAGTAACAGTATTTCAAAACCTCTGTAAAGATGAGATGATTAATCCATGCCTAGAGTTCCTTCAAATAAGTGATGATATGTTAGAATGTTCTATCAACCATAAACTTTGAGATTATGGAAAGATACCTTCACGTATAACTTTTTTCACCTACTGTTTCATTTCTGCATATAATACATGTGATTTATTGGCGATATTGAGGAAATCCAATAGGAACTCATCAGTTACATGTCTAAACACTAGTGAGAGGATTCAAACAACCAATAGACATAAACTGAGCTTAACTCCATTGCTCAAGGTAGTGGCTGACTAAACTCAGTAGCTTACTGGATAATTTGGTGGCATTTAAAAAGATCAGCACTTAGTCCGAGTCGCGGACAGAGAATGAACTCTGAGATGTAGGTGAATCCAGCTAACCAGTCGCAAATAGCATGAGGCATACATTATGGAATCCACCGCTAGCCAGCATTCATCTCCGTCTTAAAGCTGAGAATAGATTATATGTAAAGATTAGAACCATTTGGGGTACAAGTATATTACACTGATGACCTTGAGTGACCTACTAACCAATCATGAAAGTCTGCTTAGTTATGAATCTGTTAGAAGCATAAAGCAGCGGGATAATAGCTTTGATGAGAATCAGTTTAGATTTTAGGAGTCGGGCAGGTGTTATGAGACAGGGTTATCACTCCCTAGAGTTTTCTGCGTTAACTGGCAAAAGGTTTGGGTGAGGTATTGGGAGTTAATCTGTAGTTCTTAGTTGGGTTTAAAAACTAGGGTTAAAATTTTTATCACGAAATGACATCAGCCATGATGCAACGGTTCGTCATTCTTCTGTTTACAAATTTCAGAAACTTAGAGTTGAGGTCACAGCTAGTCTAAAGGCTTAGTGATCGTGTGCAAGATCGAAGCCCTCAGTTTCGACTCTCGAGCGAGGGGTCACAGATGAGCACTGCTAAGAACTACCATACTAAGACAAAACAGATTTCCAGTACTTACAGGCTTTCAATTATGGTTTGGCGAAGATCGGTTAGTCAGATAAACTGTTTGAATCTATTTTAATGACAAGAATTTATGTACATGTGTTAAAGATTTGTACCACACGTCATGAAATAAAGGCACTTTTCCAAACAATGTTTGCCACTTTTTACTTTCAAAACTGCTCACCACTGAACAAACTTAAACCTGTCAGAATGGAGGACATTTCGTATGATTGTTCCTTTTTTCAGTTGAATAGCTTGATTTGATGCAAGTGGTATAGTCAAGCGACGATTACTTACAAATCTGAATTAGGAAAGTGGAACGTCTGTAGTAAACGGATATTAGACGACATTATTTCCTCAATAAAATATGAATTGTGTCATATAACAAAATGACATAGTTATACAGAAATATTTAACAGAAAAATGAACGAAATTAAAATTCATATAAAGAATAAATAATTATATACTAAAAATTCCTTGTGTAATTCACATGCCCATAAAAAAAAATGAAACATAAGCATTAAACTTACTTATTGCGCACTTTGTTAAGATTATCATAACAAGTATTCACAAAGTAATGCATGTATATACCCTACAAACCTTTATTTCACACACTCATCTTAAGTGAATAAAAGTAACATTATTCGGCTTTTTGTCAACTGTTCAATTCTATTCATCTTTCTTAAATCTGTTAATCTGTGTAACAATTTTAAACAGTATAGTTTTTCTTCACCCTATAATGACTTAAACGAAATTATTGAATTTCGACTAGAATATTAGGAAAGATATTATAATGAGTAGTTTCATTGTTTGATTGAACTGATCTACAATACTAACAATAGAGTTTCACTTATTCAATCTACTAAGTAAATGAATAGAATGAAGGTTATTAAGTTCATTCATTTAATAATTTTCGCAATAAATTCCCAAACTATTGATCGATAAATGAACTATCCTCATTTATCATAATAGAAATAAGATACACAGTAAGAAAATAATCATATTAGGATATTCATCATTTTATTTGATTCAATGTTGAAAAGTATTTCAAACAAAATTATCATTTAAAAAGTAACAATATAATCACAAAGACATGTGGGTTTATGCCGAATGTGTTGTAAACCAAATTATAAATTGTTATTGATGTAGAAAATTTATTACAAATATTATTATTGAATGATTTAATAAAAAAGTAAAATATTTCCTAATTAAATAGCAAACACGTTTATTTTATTTCATTTTATTTTATTCATATAAATCATAATTAGCAATTTAATGCCTCAACTAATTTTAATACTTTCACATTGCCTAATGCTTCTGTGACAATGATTCGTTTACGTTGTATATCTGTTGTGATAGCCATTGGATGCCAAATAGAATGTGTATTCTTCTCAGCAATTGGTTTCAATGGAGATAAACTAGTCGAAGTAAATTTATGTTCATTCACACCGATATCATTCCATTCATTGATTTGTTTTGTTGATCTATTGAAATCATTGAATAGATGAATATCATTTTCATTTATATGTTTAATTTGACATGATTGTATACGATGATTAACATGATCTGAGATTAGAAATGATTTAATCCATGAAGCATAGCATATTCCGTAAGGTTGTAAAATCTTTCAAGAATAAAATAATAATAAAAGAAGAATATAGTATAAAGCAATCAGTAAAACATGAATTGTTACATGAAGAGATCGATCAATTACCACCATTTATAAGATGCTTTGAAGACACTGAAGATATATTTCAAAGTACCGGATTGTTTTATGCATCTAATTAGTAAAAACTATCAGTAGTTAACTGTAGTATTCCGTTAAGCTTTTTGATTCTTCACTGTCCGGTTTATCACCAAAATCCACGTGCGAGGAATAGATTTGTACAAATAAGTGATTTTATGAATTTTCACTTAGATTGAGTATATTATTATTATTATTATCAGTTGTAAATTTTTTTCCGAAACAAAATTTCCAACATAAAATGGTCATTCATTACAGAGTTGTGAAGATTGCTGAATTTCTTTGAGATCATGATTCAGTCATTGTTAGACTCCCATCGGAAACCTGGAAGCAACGGACGGTGGTTTCGTCCTAGTACGAAAACCATCAGCAGTGCTTATCCACGATCTCTGCTAGCAGGAATCGATCCGGAGGGCTTCAGTCTCACACACCAATGCCTAAGCTCCAGATTACTGATGATTCCCGTACTAGGAAGAAACGGCCGTCCAGTGCTTCCAGGTTTCTAATGTTGATTCAACAATAATCGATTCAAGAACGCAATAAAATGATTTTATCTCATCTCCAAATGGATCGAGTTTTATAGATCATGTTGTTATGTGAACATTAGGCTATGTAACTAGTTAAAAGCTGCTGTGTATTTAATGAAGATTATTATGAACTCTTTAGAAATATAATATGCATTATCAAGTAAAATGACTTAACATGCATCACAATTTAAAAATCACCTTTCATGATCAAAATAATTATAAACACTATTCAATTCATTTTTTTTCTGTAGATAATAGATTCATTTTGGCCTGTTCATTTATTATGAACCAAATAATTAAAAATAAATTTAACATTACTATTGAAATTGTTCTTCCGCTTATCTACGAGCATGGAAATAAAATATTCTATGTATTAGAACTTGTATCATCGGGCTTTACAACAGAAATCCATGTCCATAATAAAATGGTGTAAATTGACCTTCTGTAATACATATAAACAGTAGCAGTTTACAATGAATGTTAACCCATTGTTTGTGTTAAAACCAACAACTAAAAGTTAATTCAAAGCCTATGGACTGTGAACAGGAATAAATTCAGAAGACAGCATACTTATCATATGAAGAAGCTTAAGTAATTAGAGATATATCTTGATAGTGGTGACTAATTAGTACTTACTAAATGTATTTCAAGTTTAAAAATAAACGTTTCAGAGTGATAAATTGATTGAGTTTATTATCTTCGTACTGTCAATTTATTGCCTATGAAGTTCATGAATAAACATTTAATATTTTCACTGGCCAATCAAATTCCATCAAATTCCTGTCATGTGACCGAAAATATGAAGGGACGACCTTGAGAGTGATGGTAAACAAATATTTTGTTGACGTGTGAAACCAATCATGAATCATTGATACAAATGGTTTGTGAACTTAAGGACATAACACGTTTATCCGCCTTACAAATTGTTTATTCATTACATCTTATTGTTTGTTTCCTCCTACGACCTTGAAACGGATGTTTATTTTAGTTAATCATTAAAATAAATGTTATCACGTGTGTTTACCGGGTAGTTAAAAAGAACGAAGGTCAAAGCATATATTTTCTAAGGAAATTCGTTAAAATATTCATCAAATAATTTGTTCGCTAGTCTACATAAAGGAGGATAAGAATATGTATGCAATAGGATGTAGGAAAAGTTGTTTATGTTGACAGAATGAAATTGTATCTGCAAAATAATATATCAAACAGAGGCCTTTTCTAGAAAAGTAGATTAAGTATTAATCCAAAGGGTTCTATTCAGATGATAGGTAATTTCCCGAATGTACTTTTAATTTCCAATTGATTTCAGCTAGTAAACCAGTTCGTAGGAAAAATTATCTTAAAGTCGCCACAAAACCACCTCACAAATACGTGTACTTATAACTGACTTCTTATGGAGAAAACCTTGATCTGTGGCGTCAGATGTGTCACGAGTAGTGTCATATTTGAATCGTGATATTAGGTATGAATTATATTAGAACACGAGCTTACTAAATTTTACAATATTGACTAGTGGATTCCGATTTAATAGTTTGAATTTTATCCTTCCTATTAGTCAGCTATGAAAAAAAAAACAATTTAAGGTACAGAAATTTTGTGCCATTACTGTTCCACCTGAACACTGTCAATAAGTAATCAGATTACTTAGCCCAATTTTTGGAATGTACTCCTGACTTCCTCAGAAAGGGATATATTATTGAAAGTCAGTGTTGAGCTACTTTCAGGCGTACGTTGTAAGATATTCAACTTCATCTCCCTTTCTTTGTATCTAGTGATTTATGCTGTAAGTCAAAGGTATTTCACAGTGAAGGCAATGTTTACTCGACGTATAACTAATCATGAAACAATTATGTTTTTCAAAAAATGTGTCAAGTCTTATTATTTTCCGCCCCGAAGTATTTTTATGAAAATTAAAGTATGATATCTTATCATATATTTAGTAAATATACTTCTTGAATGAAGCCTAAAATATCTTGATCGTGTTATTCAAAGTTATTGATGATTCATAAACATTTTGACAATTTATACCTACTAACAGTAGATTCCACTAGAGAAATAACGAATTACAATAACAAATAATAACTGAATGATAATTTTCAAAGTAGTCAGTTGAATGAAGAATATTTGAAATGTATATTTCGAAGAAAAACGAACTAAAATAATAAATTTTATGATTGTTATTATATTATTTATGTTTTACTAAATTGAAAAATAATGAATTTATGCAATATAGTAGTGGGTAAAGCAAAATTCTACCTCACACAAAGTTGATTACATTTTCAATAACCAGTTACTTTTACTTTTACAAAATTCAAATTCACCATAGCCAGTCTGTGGTGATTATTGTATATCCATAAATTACAACGTGAATTGACCTTAGTTAGACGAAATTTGAAAACCAAGAAGCATTATTAGACAGCTGTGGTAGAGGTCGCAAATGTGCACTACTGTAGATAAAACATCTCTGCAGAATATAGATATATATATTCATTATTTATCGATCTGGAAAAATCTTAATAAAATATCAATTGAAAATTCTTTTTCCAGCTTAATTACTTACGCCTGTTACCCCCAATGGAGCATAGGCCGCCCACCAGTCTTCTCCAACCAACTCTGTCCTGGGCTTCCCTCTCCAGTTCTGTCCAATGTTTGTTCATTCCTCTCATATCTTTCTCTATTTCTCGGCGTAATGTATTCTTTGGCCTTCCTCTTTTCCTTTTGCCTTGAGGGTTACATGTGAGGGCTTGTCTCGTGACGCAGTTAGGTGCTTTTCGTAGTGTGTGTCCTATCCACTTCTAGCTCTTCTTACTGATTTCTTCCTCCACTGGAATCCGGTTTATTATCTCCCACAGTACGTTGTTGCTGATGGTGTCTGGCCAACGAATACGAAGTATTTTGCGTAGACAGCTGTTAATAAACACTTGTGTCTTCTGGATGATGGCTTTGGTAGTTCTGCATGTTTCCGCTCCATACAGTAGAACTGTCTTGACATTTGTATTGAAAATCCTGATTTCGATTTGGGTTGAAAGTTGTTTGGAGTTCCAGATATTTTTCAACTGTAGAAATGCAGCCGTTGCTTAGCCAATCCGTGCCCTCACATCTGCATCCGATCCACCTTGATTGTCGATGATGCTACACAGATATGTAAAGGTGTTAACGTCTTGCAAGGCATCTCCATCAAGATTGATTTGGTTGGTGCATGTTGTTTTGCATCGGAGAATTTCGCTTTTTCCTTTATGTATGTTGAGACCTACTGCTGCAGAGGCTGCTGCTACACTGGTCGTCTTCTCTCGCATTTGTTGTTGAGTGTGCGATAGAAGAGCCAGGTCATCTGCGAAGTCCAGATCGTCCAGCTGCGTCCTAGCTGTCCATTGAATACCGTGCTCCCCTCCAGATGTTGACGTCTTCATAATCCAGTCGTTGACCAGGAGAAAGAGAAAGGGTGAGAGTAAGCAACCTTGCCTGACATCGGTCTTCACTTCAAAAGAGTCTGTTAGCTGTCCTTCGTGTACAATTTTGCAGTTGAATCCATCATAAGAATTCCGTATGATGTTAACTACTTCTCAGGTACACCGTAGTGTCGAAGAAGCCTCCACAGTGTTTTCCTATCCACGCTATCGAATGCATTCTCGTAGTCGATGAAGTTGATGTAGAGTGGTGGTTTCCATTCAATTGATTGTTCCACAACGATCCGTAATGTTGCAATTTGGTCAGTACACGATCGATCCTTACGAAATCCGGCCTGTTGATCTCGAAGTTGGACGTCTACGAAGCTCTACGAAGTCCTTCATTCTGTTTAACAATACCCTGTTGAAGACTTTGCCTGGTATTGAAAGAAGAGTGATGCCTCTGCAGTTCTCACACTTGCTGAGATCGCCTTTCTTTGGTATTTTGGTCAGGTATCCTTCTTTCCAATCTGATGGTACTTGTTCCTCATCCCAAATCTTCTTGAAGAGGATGTAAAATATTTTCGCAGTTGCTTCCACATCTGCTTTTATTGACTCTGCTAGAATGTTGTCTGGCCCTGCTGCTTTGCCGTTCTTGATTTGTCTGATTGCCATACTGATCTCCTCAATCGTAGGTGCGCCAATATTAATTGGGAGGTCCTTGGATGCTGCTTCGATGTTGGGTGGGTTCAGTGGAGCTGGTCGATTCAAAAGTTCCTTAAAGTGCTCTACCCACCTATTTCGCTGTTCGTCAGTGTTGCTGATTGTTTTCCCTTCCTTGCTTTTCACTGGTTGTTCTGGTTTACGATAGTTACCGGCCAGCTTCTTTGTTGTTTCGTACAATTGTCTCATGTTTCCTTCTCTTGCAGCCTTTTCCACCGTCATTGCTAGATCTTCCACATATTTTCGTTTGTCAGCTCTGATGCTCTTCTTCACTTCCCTGTTCGCTTCTGTGTATGCAGCTTGTGCGGTAACTTTCTCTGCTCTTGTTCGGCTGACATTCACTGCTGCCTTCTTGTTCCTCCTTTCTTCAATTTTTGCAAGAGTATCAACAGAGATCCATTCCTTGTGATGGTACTTCTTGTGACCCAGAACTTCGTGACATGTTGAAGTGATTGCCTCCTTAATCCCTTTCCAACTGTTCTCCAATGTTGCGTCCTCTCCATTGTGTAGATCCTGAAAGGCCTGGAACCTATTGGTGAGGGCTATCCTGAATTCGTTGAGCTTTACAGTATCCCGAAGAAAGGCTGTATTAAACTTCTGTGATGTTGTCTGTCCCGTTTTCCAGTGCTTCTTTAATTTCAGTTTCATTTTGGCGATCAGCGAATGGTGATCTGAGGCTATATCAGCTCCTCTCCTGGTTCTCACATCCTCCATGGTCCTTCTGAACGTTCTACTGATACAGATATGATCAATCTGGTTTTGAGTAGTGTGTTCCGGTGAAATCCATGTCGCTTTGTGTATGCGTTTGTGTGGGAATATTGTGCCACCGATGACCAGTTTGTTGAAGGCACATAGGTTTGCAAATCTCTCACCATTTTCGTTTCTTTCTCCCAGTCCATGTCGTCCCATGATGTCTTCATATCCAGTGTTGTCCATTCCAACCTTGGCATTCAGGTCTCCCATAAGAATCGTCAAATCCTTTGGTGAACATTTGTCGACGATTGACTGCAGCCTTTCGTAGAATTGATCTTTAACGTCGTCATTGTAGTCATTGGTAGGTGCATAACATTGGATGACGTTCATTGTAATGTCCTGTTTCTTTGTTTTGAAGGATGCTTTAATGATCCGGGGTCCATGATACTCCCATCCTATCAGTGCCTTTTGTGCATGTTTGGACAGCATCAGTGCAACTCCTTGTGTATGTGAAGCGTTTTCCTCTTCATGACCAGAGTATAACAGCAGTTCCCCTGAAGCAAGTTTCAGTTGTCCTACCTGTGTCCGATGCGTTTCACTGATTCCAAGCACCTCGAGGTTGTATCTTTTCATTTCTGCCGCAACTTGAAATAGTCTTCCAGTCTCACATAATGTACGAACGTTCCATGTACCTAAAATAATGGTTGCTCTGGTTGTCAGAAGAGGCATCAGCCCCGTGACTTCCGAGGGAACTCGGCTTTCATCACGCGACGTCATAATTCTTCCTCCAACTCCCAGGGCAGAGTTAAAATGGTTTGAATTATGTTGTCTGGTTAGCGTTTTTTTGGCAAGTGAGATTTCAACGGAATGGGGTCGCCAACCCCATGTCCAACCCTCCTCCTTTACCCGGGCTTGGGACCGGCAGTAGCCCCGAAGGTTCTACTGGCGGAGTTTTTTTCCAACTAGTTTTCCTTTTTCAAGACAAAAACTAAGACCAATGAAAGCAGATCCACTTAAGTTTTTTAAATATAAATAATAGAGTTAGACATTAACACCGTTGGATGCCGATCCAGTGGTCCGATGGTTAGGCGTTCGCTCACAATACCAAAGGTCCTAGGTCCGAATCCTGTGAGGTGCAGAAGTCGTGGATGCTCACTGCTGATGAGTCCCATGCCAGGACGAAACGGTCGTCCAGTGCTTCCAGGTTTCTAATGATGGTCTAACAATGATTGATTGATGATTTTAAACAGGTCACAAAATCGATAATTTAAAAGAGGATAACATGGTATGGTACTGAAAGTACATAGCCTTTTGAATAACATCCCTCTTATGTGATTAGCGAGAATTGCTTACATTATAGTAGTATGAAAACAAGTTAGAATGGAACAGATGAAGAAATATAATCGAAGATAGATAACATAACATACCAAATTTTTGAAATATTCAAGAGAAATCTTCCTGAAAGATACATCAAAAAAGAAGTGTTTAAAATTGAAAGTCCTTAACCGTGATTCTAATGATCAAAGCACTGACATAACCTTACATATATACAAAAAGTTGTTAAGTAAACAAGTATAGCCACAGTCAAGGATATCATCACTAAATCTTTGTGTAATAATAGTATTTTACTGGTGTATTTAACAGGTGCAACAATAAACTAATATGACTACATCTAAAAGAACTATTCGAAACTATAGAAATCATCAAAAGACTTCATGGTCTGGGACCATATAGACTAGTTCGCTTGTCACATTCACTGAATTTTCTAGTCATATGCACCAATAATAATGAAGGTAAGTAAATTTATCAACTAACTAAAATAGTATATATTTAATTATATCATTCTATCATAATGTATTTCTTAATACATCGTATATTTCATCTCACTCATTAGAATAGAATAATGTTTAGCTTTAATCCATCGGTTTAGTTATGTCACGAAATAAATCTATACAATGGGCTTTCATAATGTTCAGACTGATATTCATTTGAATTTATACAAGTTTCCGACTTTACTATGGCTGCCTTTGTTTTGTTTTAGCAATCATGTGTATAGTGGAAATAGAGGAAGAAAATAAGATTTGTATAGAAACATGTAGCTGTATGAATGACTGTTCAACAAAATCAATATTTCGTCAAAAATTAGCCCAGCAAATGAATGCTTCTATATATATATATATATATATATATATATATATATATATATATATATATATATATATATATATATATATATATATATATATATATAAAATGTTATTTCTGCAGAATCACATATGTATGTATGTATGTATATATATACGAATAGCGTGTAAATGACTGAACAAAAGTACTCTATTCACGGAAGTTTCTTTTGTAAATAAGCTTTCGAAAATGATGAATAAACATTTTGCAAATTATTGTTACTCTTAGAAAAATAATCTTTGTTATTAGAATCGAGAATTCCAGAGCTTTTCTTCATATAATTGTCTGTGCAAAATTTGCCATTACAGAAATGCTGACTTTAGACATTAATAGATAAACTTGTGCACTGTTTGTACACTATATGAAATTAGTCATTATACACCACTTTGTACAAAACCGGAGCCCAGAAAATCTCCTGCAATAACGTTGTTTTTACCAAGCTTTTAATCGATTATAAATTATAGTAAAAATCTACACAATTTAGTAATCGTTTACAAGGTTAAATATAAACAAAGTTAAATCTTCATAATATTTATTAGAAAAGAGAAAAAGAGGAAACAAATTTCTTTCATACAAGATGTATGATTTGTAAGTGAACACAAACTAGGCTGAATTCTAGCTACGTGGAGTTCTAAAATATACAACAACTTTAAATTACGTCTTAATTACTGTTTTACATGAAATAAAGATTAATTGGACAAGCGTCTTGTCACTCTGAATTGCTTATCTAGCACTACGTACTCTAAACACCAAAAGGGATTGAACTTAGGAGTTTCGGACCTCACAAAAAATACAGTAGAATCTGGTTACTTATTTAATAGTTCAGTGTTTGAATTTCCCACACTTAGTTACTATTCTGAGTAAGGCTACTGTAACTGGCTTCACAGTAGCAAATGAATTGGTATACACACATGGAAGAGCCTATCATCGGGAGTTCATCCTTGATTCATTGTGCTAGTACTGGTTTCGTTGAGAAGACTATATGTATCTTGGCGGCATGATGTGTCTTTTCAACAGATCTCTTAAGTAGATTTTTAAAATGCCACCCACTATGTACTTTTTAAAATCGAGTTTTATCTAGAGAGTTTTCTCTCTCACCACGTTATCATTTGTTCTATTTTTCCGTTCCGATAGAAATTTCCTAACAAAATCATCTGAGTAGCTATTGTGTCATAATATTTTCTTTAGTTTATCTATTCGGTTATCAATACTCTTCTAAAAACATAATAGTTTAATTCTGTGGCTGAAACATTTGACTAAATCTATTTTGAACTGAACTGTTGTAAAGCTATAGGAAGGGGGATACTGACCTGTCTATGTATTCTTTAGAAATATGTTTCTTTTATGGAACTGTCTATCCTTCTAGAAGGCAGGATATCAAACGAAGTTTTACTATTATCGTCCTCTTCTTCACTGGTGTATTTTATAGCAAGGTAAACGTTATCTTAAAGGTTTAACAGTTGTTGATTGTTCGTACGTGTCATCCGTTTACCGACAGTAATAATCTAGCATACTCAGGATGTCATTTAGCTGTCCATTCCGAAATTTAGTAAGGAAAATATCAACAAGGAATGAATCTAGCGGTGATACCATTGCTACTCTATCTATCTGTTTATAGAATTCGTTTTTAAACAAAAAGTAGGTATTCATTAAGCATATATTAAATTTATATAATCAATTTCTTATAAATAACATGATATTATGAACATACATTATCATTCGTTGTACCATAACCACCAATAGAAGATAAGAAAGAACCATTCGTCAGTGAGTACAACTTCACGCTTGGAGCAGCCCAATCAGTAACACATATACATCCTCCACTATCTTCAATAAATTCAACATAATAAGGTTCAGTTAATACAGTTCGACTATTGAAAACAAATTTATTTGAATTATCTTCTCCAGATAATCCTAAACCACCTCTATCAAATGGTATTTGACGTACAGGTGAATTAGAATCACAACGTATATCATAAAGACTAATATGATGACGTCGACTCTCAACAACAGCTAACAATCCAATACCATAGCATACACCACGTGGATGTTTAAGTTTATCTTTTGTTAATGTACCCTGTGAACGTCCATCAAAGCTGAATAGGCGAATCTTTAAGAGAAATAACGAGAAAAAAAGTTTCACTAACTGTTTATTTTGCAGAAAATAATATAAAAACTGATGGCGGCGATTTAATGGTTGTATATATTGATGAATATGTAAAAAAACAAACAAACATTTTTTCCTCCTTGTAGATAGTTTAAAGATAACTAATAACGAAACAACTAGTCTTATGATCACTGGAAATAATACCAAAGAAGTTCTACTTTATTTAAATATCATACCCATTTGTATCTAAGACGAAGTATTAGAGACTTTAATTCAACCCATTATTCTTTGATGGCTGTAACTCATTCCGCTACCAGAGACAAATCTATTAACTAATTACTGAGCTATTTAATACAATGAACTCAATGAATGGATACTATTGAATAAACCTCACGTATCAAGAACAAATAGAAAGTTACGATATTTACGACTTAATAAGGGAATATAAGATTGATCATTCACTGGAACAGAAATCAAAACAAATTCAGTAATTTATACATTTATTTAAACACAAGTGTATGATAAGCATGTTTCATATAATTTTCATCTTGATCAGTATCGTAAGATAAGTCAAGCAACTGTTAAGTGGACAATCAATTTTATTCTGTCAATCACTCACTCTTAATATCTGTGTCTGAATCCAGTATTAAATGCAATGAGGTAGGATGCCAAAACATACGAGCTAGTATGTTTTTGATAAATCTCAGCTTATATGAAGTGAATATAACTAACTCTATCGTTTAAATGATTACCTATATGTACTACTTTCATTTACCTCTACAACTGCACATTCTCAGCCGACAAAATTAACTTACAGATTTAGTGTATATAGGCGTATTTTAAAAAGATTTAAAATTTAATTATACGTTTTAAATCTTTAAATCTGAGAAACAGTAATCATATTACTATGCTTTCTTTTAATATGTTAAGAGAAAATCAATAAAAAGCCTTCAACTGGTACTTCATTTATGTTAATATTTCTAAAAGAAAAAAATCATTCATTCATCTTAGTTTTGTAACAGGTCAATAAATTCACACTACAATCAAGTCAATAACTCACCTCATCTAGTTGATAATCTGATACAAATATAGTCCCTCGACTGGATGATATTGTAATGTCAAATGGACTTACAAGTCGATCACTCATTTCACCGGTATCACCTAAACTTGAAATAAATGTTCCATCATGGGTAAAAAGCTTAAAAATAAGCAAAGTATAGAGAGGAATGAATACAAATTAACAAATAGTTCAATAATATTGGGGATATATTCAATATAAATATTTTAAGTAGAATTCCATTGACGGATGCGTGATTATTTTTAAAATGTGCAGTAACTTTTAGTTTGGTGAAATTTCTGTACATACACTTAATTAATACTGAGAAACCCTATAGCTATTTTAAGTTACGGTAAGCTATTTAATGTTTATACCGTTTCACAATGGTTATGTTAAAACAAAATTCTACTTTTTACAAAGTGGCTATTAATAGGTATAAAAAACAGTTTACGCAGGTCATCAAGGCAAACAAATAACACTGACATTAGATGGAGTAAGATTCAATGAGATGATTTCGTCATAAAAATAGTTAAAAAATACTTTTTATCTATCCTCTGATAACCTTGAAATGGCCTGACATTATATGATGATAATTGAGTAGGCTGCCGATTATCCAGGCCAAGTGAGTGGATATCAACAACTTACAATCTTTTCAATTAGAGTTATGGAGATTAGTGTTTTGACACATTTGAAATCACCAATCAATCATTGTTAGACCACCATTAGAAACCTGGAAGCACTGGACAGCCGTTTCGTCCTGGTATGGGACTCATCAGCAGTGAGCAACCACGACTCCCGCACCTCACAGGATTCGAACCTGGGACCTTTGGTATTGTGAGCGAATGCCTAACCATTGAACCACTGGGCCAGCATCCAACGGTGTTAATGTCTAACTCTGATTGATCTAGGGATTTTGCGTGACCTCACCCATTTGTCTTCGATAGTTACTGCCTATACCCGACAGGAGTGAACTCCACTGATCACGTCTTCTCACTATAACTCCGAGAATTTCCTCACGAAGCTAGTCACTAGGGAGCACATTTTACGATATATCGTCCCGGGTCCGAGTCCTGTGAGGTGCAGAAGTCGTGGATGCGCACTGCTGATGAATCCTATACCTGGACGAAACGGCTGTCCAGTGCTTCCAGGTTTCTAATGGTGGTCTAACAATGATTGATTGATGATTTGAAATGTGTATAAACTTATAATCTCACAGTTACAAGGTACAGTTCTAAAATTTGTTTCCTTTTTATCAGACATCTTAAATATAAAAAAATCCTTTTATTTCTTGTAGTTTGAAGTTAGAGATATAACCTCTTATATAAATATGTTAAACAATCTGAAGTTAGCTTTCTGAGTTTGAAATCATACATGTATACGTTTCACTTGATATATTTATTTATCGCCTATTAGACAAAATAAGTAGTTGAGTGAAGAAAGTGATAATTCTAATAAACATATTCAGTTTGAAATTCAAATTATTCACACAACATGACTGATCATTTGTTGTAGATGAACCAATAAACAATGTATTGAATACATTTTAAAAAAACTTTCTAACAAAAACAGAAGATGATGTGACTACAAAAAACAAATCATGCGAATTTCAGTCATTTGAACATGAAAGCATAGAGAGGAAGAAAATCAGTTCACATTATTGGGTAGTTTTCAGTTGACCTGTGGTGATGGGGGAGATATCTTGTAAAAATGATTAAGTTTTATTAACAATGTAACAAGAAATTGATGGAATAGATTTAATCAAACAAAAGTATGATACCTTGATTCTAGAATTATCTCGATCCACAACATAAATATCTCCATTGGATTGATTTACAGCTAATCCAGTAGGCCAAACATCACGTAAATCAGTACTGACTCTTGCATCAAATTCTAATTCATTTAACACTTCATATTTAGATGAATTGGCATGTTCTTTAATCTGTGATTTATATTTCCTGTCAGTAGACATATAACCATTTACTGATGATAGATAATGATCACTGCATAAAATATTTAAAAAAAGGCATTTATTTGAAATTACTTTTGGATAATTCAAAGAGTAAAGTTGCTTTCGGGTTATTTCATTTTCTAGAGCTAAGCAATCATATTTGTAGTTTCAATTAGACAATCGTAAACATGATTACACATAATAAGAAAATGAAAACATGAAGAAAAAACAACAGAGTTATGCAATACTATGCAATACTGAAATGTATCACAGAAGAAAGACAATCTGAAAAAAAAACTGCTACTCCGTACACATGAAATAAATGTTTCACTGGTTGAATCCTATTCAAAAGTAAGCAATCCGATGAGGTGATTAACAGATTTAAATTCCGTGAGGAAATGTTGGCAATGAATGATCATAAAAGTCCAAATGTCAATCAATCAAACTATAGAATGTTTATGTTGATGATGATTGCATAATGCATATGTTTATGTGTTCTGGGACAGGAGAGTTTAAAAACTCATAAACTAACAATGTGTGTGTGTGTGTTGTAAGCGAAGTAAACTATCTGTATCAATCTCGTTAAACATTACATGACTTCATATCACAATTCTTATTGTTACATTATTGTGTCTATTCATTGTTTACTATTTTTTTTTATGTCATGTAACCGATTGAAATTTGATTTAGACAGCTTGTTAATCAATCCGTAGAATAAGTTTCTCTTTACTGAATCTAGTGTTTATATTATTGTAATAAGAATCATGATATTTTTGAATGAACATTTACTGAAGTGTATTTGTAATTATTTTAATCTGTAGGCATAGTTTATTCCAAATTGATGTCAGTTTGGATATCAATGCAAACTAGGGACATTGAACTGCAGTTTTATCCTAGTAGTGGGCACCTATGCGTTTGCTAAGACCTCTAGGTCTCACGGTAAGTATTCGGCCATTAGAAGTAGTGGAGTTTGGATCCAAGGGACATACGTTCAACACCAATCGATTTGTGATTATATAGTACAGTGATTAACCAATGCCACCGGTCATTTCATAACTTTGCATAGAAATTGAATTGTATTTAACCAGTTACAATACTGCACAACTTGACAGTAAAAATGAAGCAAGGATGAAGAGATGTGGAAATAAAACTAGTCATAATATTTGTTGCTTACTGGAGCATACAGACACATCAATAAAGAATATATCGATGTAAAAGGATAGACAATAAAAGTTAAGAAAGTAGTGAAAACTTAATTTCTTGAGGCTACATTGGTTTGAATACTACCAATTATGTTAGATGGTTGGAGGTAACCAACAGAAAGTTCGAAAACTAGAGCCTAGGTTCGTTATCTCTTATCTGCGGGATGTATGTTTGAGGAACTGTTTTCCCCCACTGAACTGGAATTTGTGAAGTTTAGTATTCAGAAATATTGGGACTAAGTTCTTCACAAATAAGATGCGCTAAGTTTATAGATTCCTTATGGTCTCATTTTATAACTTAAGATCAAACGAAACAATGTAAAATAGTGCTGATCCAGTCAACGTAGCAGTGACATTGCAATTTTATCCAATCGAATTTAATATGAATTATTGATTCAGCAACATAAATTTACTTACGACTTTGTTATCAACCAATACGTTCCTGATTCTTTGAGATCGAAATATTAAAAATTCTTTTCATATCAAGAATAGAGCGAATTAATATGATCATGATCTAGTGTGATGATTATAAAACTAGAGCAGATAACATTGAACCTATCTGTGTACCGCTATATACATGCAACGACGTAATGTTGTTTAGTTCTCTGTTTGAGTCATATTGATCATGTGGAATGTGATCACTAGTCTGAGTGAATCAACTATATGATTTTTTATTTTTATGACAGCTAGTTGGATGTAAACGGTTGGAAACCCTGATTTTTCGCACAACCGTCAACTCGAATCATTCCGCTTGAAACTTGAATTCATATCTTTCTGCTAACCATTTTTCAGCATACTACACAAAAAAAAACGGAAAATCAACTTACTCTAAATTAATTGGGTGAAATTCACTATTATTATTATTATTGTGATTACCAAATCGATTATTCCCATGAAAATTATTTAATATTGCCAGATCTCGTGGACTAGTATTGACACCAATTGACACTTGATCATGATTTAAGCACATATTACCAAGTTCTAATTTAAGTTCATTTTGTTGATTCCCAGCTAAACAACTGGTCAATTCATTTTTAACAAATTCTTCTACAATTTTTTCATATTCAATACTTCCAAATAAATATGATGAATTGAATAGATGACTATTTGTTTCTGTTTCATTTTCACTATATTTATAATTGCCAATTTTGAAATAGGGTTTGATTCGTGCTAATGAGAAGAGAAGATAGAAAATTAAATATGTTATAACTATAAAGTCAATTCTTACATGAAATCGTTCAAATGAAAACGTATCCTATAACATAATGGAATACTTTTCCAAACTTTTCAGAACAGTCACCTATTCTTTGCATTTATATAACAATGTTAACAACAGTATAGTTGAATGAATTTCACAATGTTACCAATCATTCAGGAGTTAATTCAGCGATAAAGTTTTTTACGTTAGGAAATTCATAAATTAAGCGGTTAATAGGAAAGCCAATAGAACTTTAAGAACTGCGAAGTATAGTTAATCAGTCTCTTACTTTTCATCTATTTTTCCTTGAATTTCCAATAGAAATTTTAAAAGTATTTAAAAGTCAACGACCGTATTTTATTGGCGTTCATCAGGAAAAAAAATCAAAGTTATAACTAAATAGCTCTTCCACTTAGATGCACGTGAGAATGTTTATGAATCAAGCCTGAAGACAATTTAGGTAGTTTTTTGAATATTTCTTATGATTTTATAGCTTTTGCCTATCTGTATGGTTGATAACAGCTTTCTAGTTATGATTAATCTGTAATACAACTTTCAAAAATGTATTTAGTTATCATAATCCTGGACGTAAATCACAAGGACGACCTTGAAGTGCTTTTCGGCCAACAGGGAAACGTTAACTAGTGAAATTACGATCGATGAATGGTAAACCTGTCTTTTAGAATCATTAGAGAATTTCATCACGAACTGAGGCCAAATATTTATTCAAAAAATATTTCGTAGTCATTTGAGTAGATAATTTTGTTCAAGAAATCTAATCGATTCGTTTATATATTTTACTTCTTCTATTATTACCTAAACTAATTAGCAAGAAAAAATAATCATTAAGGAGCTTGTTGGCAGATTAAAAAACGCCCAATTTCCAATATATATATATATATATATATATATATATATATATATATATATATATATATATATATATATATAGTAATTTGAAGTTTTGAATCGTTATACTGAAAGTAATGCTTTCATTGTTTGACATTTTATTGACGAGAGACATTTTATAAAACAAAGCTTAAATCATTAGTTAAAAGAAAACAGACTAAGTCTTGCTAATCTTTTCATGCTACGTCAATGGTACAAATAAATTATTCACTGTATGTATCAATGATTACTCTTTAAATATCATTCTGAAGTATACTTTAAGTACTTTTGTTTTTCTAAAATAAAAGTATTAAGAATTAGTGACTTTTTTTAATCGGATAACATTAAGTGGTTGATTATAGACTAAAGTGTTCATGTTTTTTTTAAATCCATTGTATAAAACAAAATACACCACTTGGTGGACTACGATTCATGGATGAAAGAACAATTTACAAATTTATCAAACTAATAAACATTTTTAAGACGTTCATCAAGAAAAAAAATGTACCAAATTTAAAATAAATGAATAAATAATTTGCTTTACTAATTGATATCAGTTGGAAAACTAATGGAAACCAGGAATTACTGCATGATTTAGTGTAAAATTTGAATCTATCAGTAGTACACACTAGAAACTTCATATGATGTCAAAATTAGGAATAATAGTTCTCAAAGTGAGTATGTTACTTCTGACCAATGAGACAGATTCTAATGATCCAATTTCCAAATTTTATTTGACATGCCGAACCACCGACTACCTCGACAAGCTATGTTTTGTGGTGTAGGAGTAGGTTGGAAGAAAGTTAAGGGCGGCCAGACCAAAACATGGAAGAAATCCGTGAAGTCAATAACAGCTGGACTGAGTCATGTTGGTAGATGTAGGCTACCTGGTTGGGGTCCGCGAGACGAAAGTCACCAATGGTTAGAGACCTTGAACGACATGGCTCAGAATCGTTTGCAATGACGCAGGTGCATCCACTCTCTGTGTGCTTTTTAATTTTAACCTTCTGAATTCCTCATAATCTCTACCTTTCTACTTCTAAGTTTATCTCACTGACTTATACTTCTTGAATCATATCTTCGCTCTCTAATCTTCTCCATTACTGCTAATAATTCTACTATCGCTATCACTCTGGGATTTGAAGTGACAGTTACGTCTCTGTGCTGACGTGGTATGGCAACCTGAACTGATGTACATACGTACGAAGTTCTGCGTTGTATCTATCTGTCTGTCTGTCTGACATGTAATGTAGCCCAGTTCAATGCTATGTTTTCAAACCATTAAAGAGTTTCAAATTTAAGATGTGAAGTAAGTATCTAACACCTCTCAATTTACGATGGTTTTTCAATGAATTCAAATTGATGATGTAATAATTTCCTCAGAAAGAGCCTCTCTGAATGAGGAAATTCCGCTAGAAAGAATGGTTTAATATGTTTTGATTATCCTCATAATTTACTGTTTATCACTGTAATCATAGTGTTCTGTTGACTATTTTTGAAAAAATAGAAACCACAATCACTTAAATATCAGACTGTCCTGGCAGTTTAAGCTGAAATTCCGATGAATACCGCAAAATATTGTTTCGAAATTTTATTCACAAATTAAATTCCTAACTTAAGCTAGTTTACACTAATTACCCACCAAGTAGTAAATTACATCATGATTCATTGTTACTAAGGACTGGACGCGAATACCAATCACTATCAAGTGACAAAAACTACCAGTGATCCCAGATCTAAAGGAGATGGCTTGAAATCGAAATAAAGGAGTTTAGAGTTGAGAAATTCTCACTAGTTTTATCAAGATTTCAGATGAGTCTTATAAGAAAGTGCCAACAGAACCCAAAATTTAGGCTTATAGATTTGCACAGATTGCTTCTAATCGCCTGACATAAGCTATTCAAGTTGGAATTAATAGCAATATGGAAGTGATGAATGTGGTGGTGTTTCGTTCTCTGAGCTGGTTGTTTTGGTTGTGGAGCTTTCATTGTTCTTCTGAACAACATCATCAGCACGAACTTCAGATAGAAGTGAAGCATTAGAATTTCTCCACGTTTGACCTGTAGCTTGTTCTGCTAACCTCGATCTTGATTGGTTGTTGTTGACCTTTGACCTGTCGTTGTTTGCAACTATGTTTTGATTGCCTCCCTCTTTTGATCTGTTTCTTGATCCAGTGTCACCTATGATTCTCCTGATTGGTTGATAAATTGGGTCAATGTCGATATGTTTGTTGATTGCTAATTGACCTGAGTGCCAAGCTTCTAAAAATTCTCTAGTGTTCTTTGTCCTCCCCCTACCCAGTGGGTAGGTAGAGGATGATGTTGTTCAGAAGAATAATGAAAGCTCCACAACCAAAACAACCAGCTCAGAGAACGAAACACCACCACAATCATCGACCTGAGCTACAAGTTTTCTCCACCATCTCGGAAGTGATGAAAGAAGCTACTGTTGACCATTGTTTAAAGAAATAATGTTCACTGAGGTCGAGAGGAATGAAAGTAACACCTGAAAAAAAATTGCACCATAAAATTAATTCATGTTTCAGGTTTAAAACAAAATGTTTCAATCAAGAAAAAGATTTACTGTAGGTTGTTCAAAAATGATATTTGTAATGTAAGATAGAGATAGATAAGAGATTTTGGTTATTTTCAAAATAATACATTGCTACTTGCATATAATTAAGTAGTAATAATAATTTGAAATAAACATGATTTTGGGCAAAATGGATTCTTTTGAGTTCCAATGTACAGATTGTTCACTTCAGAGTTTGGTTTCGTCACTGATTGATATTAGATTTAGCAAAAGCTATTGACGATTACGACTATACCATTGTTCAGTATGTTCTGGTTTTTATTGTTTCTTTAACTGATGTACATATATTGCCATTTTACAGAACTAAAACAAAATTTAAAATTGTTTCAAACAATTTCTCTGTTCGTAAATGTGAATAAGGCTTATTTATATAACTGAACTGACAGCTAACCGAATTAACGAATCAATGAAGTGAATAAAACATTCACAACATTACTAATATGAACTCAAACTATAAAGTCATTTTAACTAGATAAAGTAGAAACATTGAAAATATTTGTCAATTATAAACTTGTTCATTCTCACTCAGTTGAATAATGTGTCTTTTTTGCAAATTTTTAACAGAGAGACTTTTAACCATAAGTAATTACTGAAAGTTGTTAACAATAAAAATCAATATATTTCCAAAGAAGAAATTTTACCAGGTGAATCGCGACACAGATGTATAGCGCGTTAGATTATGCAAACTATACACATATATCGAAATCTTTTAATCTGTACTTACTGTTTAATAAACCAGAATCAGGCACCATAAAATTCCAGTTAGCTTATATTTTTTTAGAAAGTAAAGTGGTGACTTTCTCATTTGAAATACTAAGTTTTGAACCAATAGTTTTTAAGCTCAACTTTACCCTGCTTACTTTTGTTTAGCCATTTCGTTAGTAACATAAAATGTGTGAGTCAAAGACAAGTATGTAGACTTTTGTTTGATAAATAACTTTCATTTGCGTTATTGTTGTCAATAACATAAAGCAGGATGGAAACTTTATACTAATCTATACAATATTTCTTAATCGTAATTATAAATATACTCTGAAAAAAGGTGATTTTACTTTGGTTTCAAGAAAATCAGATTCAGTGCAACTTGAACATCATACCCTGTTCATGTGGGTGCAAATACAAAAGTAACAAAAAACCTTGTTAGATCATATTTATATTGTATAGAAGAGGAATACGAAAAATATTGATCATAATTAATAAATGAACACTAATTTCTACCCAATTCATGAAAAGCATTTGTAAGTTTGATAGTCATTCAAGGAATGCCAATAACTATTTGGAATCATTTAAGCTATATTATTAAATATTGTTTGATAGGCCAAATCATGTTTAATTCACCTTCTAAATATTCAATTTTCTTTTGTCCTAAATAATTCAATTGTTCATTCACTTGATCAAAACAGAAAAGTAACTCTTCTGGCCTAAAATGAAAATAATTTAAGAAAAAAGATGAATATTGTAAAATTTAAGACATAATTAATGAGTATCTGATTCATAGTCGTTTATTACTGCTGACACATTAAACGACATTGACTGTAATGTAACACATACAGACTGACTAAATAACTAGCTAACTGATTAACTGGTTAGAATAGTTCAAGTAACCTCCAAACGTCTTATTCGGTTTCGAAATGATGATTTCCTATAATTCCAATTGTAAAACTAATGAAATTCATATCCTCGTTCAAATAATGTCTGTTAAAGTCAGGTATATGATCTTGACTTCGTTTGTAAAAATTTTTTATCGATCCCATCAAATTAATAAACAAGAATAAATCATTTAGGAATCACTTAATTTTAATTAAGATTCATTTATTTGACTGACATAAATACTGATCATTTAAAAGTTCGAATACTAGACAGTAGACAGACAATATTTGCTATCCTAACTAGCTTTCAGTATCTTTAACTCATTTAGTTTCAGTTTTATCAACTATTTAGTTTATAGATTTGTGAGAGTATTCTGAATAATGAGATTTTGACGAACATATTATGTCATCTGTCAACTTATTGACATCAGTTTCATAATATTGATAAATTATTATACCATAATATTATTGTCTATACACAAAAATCAAATGAAATTTTATCAGCTTATATTCTCATGGTAAAAGTGATTTGTTTGATAGAATTATTGAGTAATATGTAGATAAATCATATTTCTTGAACAATATATATTGTTTAACATTTAATTTCAAATAATTTTGTTCATATTGAATGGTTTGCACACTCACATAGTTAATAAGTAAAATCTGTTATACTTCAAACTACCGGTTTGGTTTTTATCTCGAATGAATATACCTTGAATAACTAACACAAACTATGATGAATTGTGTTATTAAGAAACACTGCAGTTTTACAATCTTTCTATTCAAATTGATTGTCGATCATTTGAAATATTAGAATAAGTATCTCAATGCATTAAATGACATTTATTTCCTCAAAATACTTACTTCCATGTATGATGACTATTTTTTTTTTGAAACTATCTTGAAGAAAGAAAATGTTTATTGAAAAAATTGGTTTTTTGATATTTGTTTTTCGAGAAAAAGAAGCTACTTATGAAAAGTTATGCTTATACTAAATACCTTGACTATGTATTAACTCATATCAAATATCAGATCAAAAGAAGTGAGAACATTAAACTTCTACATAAAACAGAAGTATGTGAAAAAGGATTTGTTTGTCTTAAAGTTCGTATAGGATCAGATTAAATGACTGTCAATATGATAATCCACCAATGATATAAAATATTCAGAAGTTTGGACGAATTTGATGGCATAAATTTATTTCGAAAGTGTAACTCAAACAAAGTGATCAGAACACAGAGGAGTTAATAAGATTAATTGACACAATTTAACAGGCAAACATATATACACATGCAAGTAAGTCTTTGAGAGTTTCAGCAACGTTTAGGTAGATAAGAGAAATATATCAGTAGACTGGTACATGACTTTGAATATATGCGTAGTTGTTTGCACAAATATTAAGCCAGGAAAGTAGAAACGAGTTATTAACGGCCAAAAATAACACTGTCTTCCAAATAAACTTATTCAAGGGCTTGATTGATTCCAACGTATATAATCCTATATGAGAGTAAAGCCCCTACTTTGGGGATTCGGTCATGTTGAGGCAATTGCTAAGCATAACCAGTAACCATTCTGCATATTCTTTTTGTGTTTCGTTATACTGAATAATTAAGTTGAAGTTATTTCCTATCACTGCTGTTCACATTATTAAGACGATTTAAATAAAAAAACAAGTGAAGTTGTTTTGTCACCCTTAAGTTCGCAGTTATGCTCAATATATGCATTCCATTAATTATTCTGGCTATTTGGTTTCTAACTACTCAACTATATAATCCATCATTTATTTACTACTTCTTTGACAGTATCGAGTACGTGTTAAATAAAAATATAGATTATCGTATCCAAGGATGTTGTAACCAAAGATAGCATATTTATAATGAATGTTTGACACTTTTGCCAAGAAATTTGAACTTAATCTATGCTTTGTGTTTGTTTATACTTGCAACTTGGACCTTTAAACAACGCTAACTTTATATGCTCTGATGAAAAACTATGAGCCAGATATTTATATCAAGCTACTATTGATTCCTAAGTGTTTGAATTTTATGGTAGTTATTGTAAGAGTTAATTTTAACTAGTCTCTTTTTGAAATGCATGCATACTGAGTTGATAGCCACAATATTACTAATAAGTCATAACTATTCATGCAAAGATGAATAGTGGCTAGCAGTGGAACCTAGGACGTGTTTCTGGGAGTGTGGAACGAATAATATTCTCTTCGAGTCTCTGAGTAAACGTTAACTCTGTGACTTAGGTGTATCCAGATGATGAATCTGAAGTAAGACGAAACGTATACCTTTGATCCCATCAACAGTCACCATCCAACGTTATTTTCCATGAAGCTCGTTCTGTGCCACCAAACTGTATGTTTTTCAATATATTCTTAAATTTAACCACCGAGTAGTTGTCCTTAGATAATGAATAAATGGTAGACTAGTGGATTTTTCTCACTCTTCAAATTATCTAACAAACCAACATAATCTACAGTACTTTGCTATATATTCCTTTTAAATCATAATGGATATTCATATTTAAAGCTTTATTTGAATAACGTGTAACCGCTAAGTGATCACTTGTGAAGTAGTTCACTGAATCTCCACTGATGGAGGTGGGTGGGAAATATATCACGAATTCCTTAGTGATAATTCCAGTCGGTTGTTAGAATTTCTTTGAAAAAATTGCTGAACACATGTATAACCCTTGTGAATGCATTGACCTCATATATTCATCTGTAACTTGATTTTCAATATTATTTCGTACTGTACCGAATAATTCATCTCAGATACTGTTTCCTGCGTATTGGCTTCTGAATAATTCTTACCTACTATAACAATGAGAACTGAGACAACTTGGATAGATGTGCATTTGTGCTGATTGACTGACTGACAATTTTTAGGATTAGCTGAGTTCAAATATACTCCACTATCATTACTGTTTATAGTTAGGTATTCAAATAAATGAGATATATTCACTTCAAAATTACTATTAGAGATACAAATCACCTTCCAAAATCTTTCAGTGCATCAGCATATCGACAGGCTACTTCACATTGGACAATTAACGGATATAAGAACCCTGCACAATCGTCAATTAATTTCGTTTCACTATCAATTTGTTGGTCAAGTTGACTGATTAGTTTATTAGCTATTTGATCAATTTCTTCTTTTAATTGTTTTGCTCTACTTTGAATTTGGTTGGTTGTATTCAATTCTGTTTCAGTGAGTTCTTGACCATACTTTACCAGATGACGTAAATAATTCTGTTAAATAAACAAGAAAGCATAAATCGAGCAGAAAAATTATTTTCTTCATGTGATGAATATACATTTTATGACCTTATGATATGGTGTTATTTTAACTCGGCTAGTCAAGCCAATTAACCGCCACAGTATTTAATCATTGAATGTATTGATTTTCTCCTTGTTGAAATATACAATCGTATTATTTGACGTTTTAAGATTGATGAAAAACGATATAAATACAGATATTTCTAGAATCAGATAAAAAAATAGCTTTCAATTACTTTAGAAACACTATTACTAATTACTGTTAATTGTTGTTATCTTAGAAAATCAATTTCACAACAATTATTCTAGATAATTATAAGATTGAAGAGATTTTTGAAATATTATCGTATCCATACTGATAATTGTAATATATATATTCATAGATTTATATAATTTGATCGTCACTTAGACATGAGCTATGATTCTCGCCTAGAAATCCTATACATTTAATTTTGTCATCGGATTAATTTGATTGTATTATTTACAATTAAGTGGCACTTAGTAACGTTTATTTTAAACATGAGATGATACATTGATAATTGCTTCACTATTAACAAATATACTCTGTTAATGAATATTTAAAATAAACTAATCATGATTAGGGAAAAAAAGATGTTCTAATGACCAATTGAATGAATGCTACAAATAATTTACTATATTTATAGAGTATACAACCAAAAGTGTTATTTACAATTTATTAAAACCTTTTAGACAATTTTCTATTTATTTTTCAATCTGTAGATTCATTTCCACTTATTTTTGTCAGAAATGTGATCTTTCATTATAGAGCTATGAAGATTGTTGTTTATTATTAGAATCATGATTTAATTATTGTCAAAACGCCATTAGAAACCTGGAAGGATTGGACGGCCGTTTTCGTCCTGGTATAGGACTCATCAGCAGTGCGCATTCACGACTTCTGATAATCGCTGGATTTGAAACCAGAACCCTTGTATGCGAATGCTTAACCTCCTGGACCACCGAGCCGGCATCCAACAGTGTTAATGTCTAACTATGATCAATCTAAGGTTTTCAATAATAAGGTTTCTAATATTGGTATAACAACAATCGATTCATAATTTCAATGAGAAATCTAATCATCAGTAGTAATATATTAAAATATCTTTCCAAGCTGACTGTGTTATCCATTAATAGATTTATTTTAAAAAAAATCTTATTATCTAATCCAATCATATTTGTTTATGATAAACAACAGATTATCGTTTTGTTGATTACTTAGAATAATAATAGTAATAATAATAATGATTAAAAATCGCTCAATAACTATCATGTTGTTTAATATTGTGCACAATTACAACAGAACACGTTAGATTTATATTGTATTAATTCAAAAAGGTAGGATAATATCTATTATACACAAGTTCATTCAGCGTAACTTGATTAGGTCTACAATTATTAGGAAGCAGTGAGATGAACTTAACTGTACTTAACTGTAAATAGTATACAATTTCTGATCACCATAAATTAAAGCAAATCAAAATATTTATTAAATTAGTCTGACGAAAAAAATTCCTTTAGTCTAATATGATGAATGAATACATTGTTTGAATTAAATTCTTTCAAATATCCATTTCTTTTTCATCATAAATGACTAAGCAGAAATGGACAGTGGCTTGAAATGGAATCCAAGACGAGTGTTTTGTCCTATTAGGATCTCATCAGCTGTATGTACCTGCAAATGTTGATTTTATTATTACGAATGTTATGACTGAAATAATTAGTTGGACTCTGAGAGCCAACTATGCCTCTAATATTTTGCTGATTTTTAAAAGATTCTATCTTATTCGATTACTTACTCAACTATTATCTCAGTTATCAGTTTCACTCTTTATATTCTTTCTTATCGGAATAATTCAATATTTATGTTTCATACAATGATGATTTTCGACGTGTTTTAACAATGCTAAGGAGGGACATCAATTTGTTCAAGACCCTATGAGTATTTCGGTTATAAATACAAAACGTATGAAATTTATGTACATAAGTTTACCTGCTATTTTTCTTCAACCATTCGATAACTGAAACTAATCACATTTAATTGAACTATTGAAAAAAGTGACTTACTTCAAATTGTGAATGGCTTTTTCTAACTCGATCAGTTTGTTCATTAATTTCAAGTTTAGCATCATGTTTAGCATCATGAACAGCCTTTTCCAATGGTAAGACAATATGATTTCATGTTCTTTACTTTTAGTTGACATGGAAAAATGTCCGCTACATTCAGCGCATAAAAGTTTATTACATGGTTTACAGTAAAAACAAGCTGATGGTGATGACCAGTTACACTCATAATCAGAGATAGTTTTATCTTTGTTACCATTAAGAGTGACCGTAGTAGGACTAGTTCTGATTAGTTCATCCGATCCATTCTGATTATTACCAACCATTTCTTTGTTCGAATTAACTGTGTTAAACTTAGGGAATCCATGATCTGTACATTGAGTAGGTGGAGCCTCTCTCATGCGTAATAAATATCCGTTTACTAAAATATCCTGTAAACACAAAAGAAATCAGTGAGTATTATTAACTAATAAAATAGCCAGCAACATCAAGAGCTCGATATTTTCAATATATTGATCACTCCAAAATCACCTATGATTGATCAGGCATACTTTATGATGAAATCTTGAAACAGATTTCTTCAAAGAACCTGATAAATGATCCCTGTAAGACTTTGCAACAACTCATATGAATTGTATCAGATAATCATATGGATCAGAATACAAATCCTTACAGTTTTTATTAAGAGAGTTAAGTTCTGATGAATGTTTATTATGCTTAGCACTGAATAGCATATGACTGGGGTGGATCGATTAAGGTAATTGAACTCATCCCTCCCGGATATGTTAACGATTGACATAACAGAGCTAAAACATATTTAAAAAAAATAATAAGGCCAGTTTATACACATTACTCAAGAAATGGAAAGTGATGTTCATTTTTGTAATAGACCGACCTTCCGGTGAGAACAACTTCAAGTACTTTATGAATGAAAGTCTAATAGCCTCTTTAGTGCAATAAATAGCCTATGAGTCCCTTGATAATACTCCGTCATTTCATGAATGTCTTCATAAGACATATCTCTAGATAAGGTCGTTATTATTAGTACTAACTAGCAATATTCAACTCAGTGTTTCAATTTTATTAGTCAAACAGTTCGATCCTAAGGTTCAACCCTAGCTGTGACCAATTATTAATCTCGATTAAAAAAACGCATCATTAACCAATCCTCTGCTCTGATATACACAAAAAAGACTTCCATTTTATCCTACATAATTGATCTAATCTAGAAGAAGCGTTTAAACACATTTTCAAATTCAAACTCTCATCATAAAGAACAGAGGATCATCTACTTTCAGATAAATTTTTCATTGGCTACTTTAATATATTCAATGAAATTTACACTTAGTCATTTCCTTCAATATGGAATCAAATAAAATCGATTACTGTTTTTTATCGACTTCTGTCTACTTTTACTTTTTTCGAAAAAAAGAAACAAACAAACGAGCATTTAATCTAAAATACTTTTTTATTACATTTTGTTAAAGTGCAAATTTATGCTAATAATTCAAATATTGTTATTGCTTTCATTATTGCAATATCAACTAACGAAATTGTTGAAATAAATGAGAAATAAAATATTTGAATGATCAGTAATGTTGGTTTTCATTTTCATGGTATTCAACAAAAGCATAATTAATAAATATCAAATTATCGACTATTCTGAATTAATTTAATTCAATCAAATTCCATTGATATTAATTATTCGTGTTTTCATACATAAACTGAGTGTACTGAATGATATGGTTCAATATCATACAGCCTAATGAATCATTAATTTTTAATTTTGTTTTAACAGTAAATTAGATGCTAATTTCAGTTTTTCATCTTTGAGTAAAATGTGTCTAATTTTCATGTGATTGATTAGAAAGAATAAAAGAAAGTTTAGATCAAAAGCATAATATAACATATTCCCATAAAGTTGCACATTTAGTGATTTTACAATCCCTTCTATCACCTAGTTATAGTACTAACTTTTCGTTATAACTACATAGTTTAGGACCCAACATCTAACTTCGATCCATTCAATTTACATATATCATTCTTAGGTGAACCCAGTTTGTGCGACGGCGCAAATAACAAGCCCAATATAAACTCAGTTGAACTAGTTTGCTTCATGCAATCGTGTAGACGGACGAACATGAGAGTAAGAAGTGTGAAAGAAAAGCGAAGTACGAAGTAAAGCAGAAAAATTCGAACGGATCAATTCAATGTAATTCGACATGATTAAGTATTTATTGATAGTTAGACAAAAATAGGCCATACACACAGACAATAATAAATTACAACAGCAACCAAGATTTCAAGCGAATAGTTGACAAGGTCGAAAGACATGTAAACATTAGCTTGGGCAGAAAAGGTTAATTGGTTTACCCAAAAGCTAGGATAAGCCACTTATAGACCCTCTGAGGCTACTGTTGGTCCCAAGCCGGGATAAAGTAGGAGGGTTGGGCATGGATTGGTGACTCCATCCCGTAGAAAACCAACTCGCTAAAAAAACGCTAACCAGAAAAAAATAATTCAAACCATAAGCCGTGTTGGCTTGACGTATTTGAAAACACTACAATACTTCCTGAATACTCCTTACTATTGATATTATAACTTACTTGTTAATCTCTCAAAAGTCAGTCACCTTAAAACTGTTTTTAAGATGAAATTAGATGTAACCTTTTGGTGAAGAGAAAAAAATAGTCAATCTAGTTGATTAGTAGTAGATATACTTGGGTTCTGAAACTCAATGAAGGTGAAAGTACGGTCAATGAAACCTTGTTTATAACTAAAATCTATCCAAGATTTAAATTCTCATGATTTAGTTGAGTCGACTGACTATGAATCATAGTTTATTATCAAATAAATGTATGTTCATTCTTATTATCTATGATAATCAATGAATAAAACCAGCATAGTTCTCATTACCTCCGCATGTACCTGACTCATCAAATAATTCTTAACTTTTGTCTTTGAAAGTTTCTTTCATCAAACCATTATAGCTTATTCATTTATTTCATTCTAAATATCACATTGGTTATGTCAACTTTGGTAACGGTTGAATAATGAAAAATAAAATGATTTGTTGAGATTAAAGTTAAGTTGTGAGTAGTTGTTATAGACCAGTTAAGCTGTTTCCTTTTGAAAGTATTCTCTTCAGTGTTTTTCTATCAATTTTTAGGGTAATTTATCACAAATTTATCATCTTATTTAATATAACTCTTCAGTGTTACTTTCGTTAATAAATTTAAATAACTGGGTAGTATGAATTAATTTCAACGTCTTATATGCTTCTGAAGTATCTTGTGGATTTATCCTCAAGTTACATCTGAGCTGGTTTTTCCTCTTAATCACTAATCAGTTGAAATATGAAGTATAACTCACTATAATTGACTGCAATAAATTGCTACTAGAGCAGTGTTACGCTATCATAAACACAACAAACTCATGAATTAATTAAAGGCCTAGTTTCTTCTTTCTGCAATCAATGTGTGTTGTTTAGCAACAGTATTGTCATGATAATCAGTACAGACATAGATTGGTTAGATTATCAAATAAGTATAATTCTTTAAACAATACTCACTCATGCAACTGAGCTCTAACAAACTAAAATAACTTCTGAACACCATTTTTTTTTTGAGTCAATAAAAAGTCAAGTGAACTACTGTTATAGGAAATGGTTATCTCGTACCATGTTTATTAAATATATAATATTGTATTATGTCAAAATGTATGTCTTGAAATTTTCACTGTTTAACCTTTCTTTGAAGGGAATAAAAAAAAATTAATCCAAGACAAAGATAAAAATACACTGTGACCTAGTTAAAAATATTATTCTTTTTTTCTTATAAGAAACAAACAAGTGCAGAATTTCCTGTTTATTCAGAGAAAAAAACAATACAATATCCCAGTTTTAAATTCTAACCAATTCTTTTATTAATAATAACATGCGATTGTAACGCCTATTGTTATGAGTAAATTTTTTTCATCTTTCAGTGTTGAATTTTCTATCTAATTACTGTGTTTATTAGTAAACTCACCTCATTTATGTACATAAAATATTATTAAGATATTTTTAATCAAGAAATAAACATTTCAATAGGATTTGAATTTTATTTTGCGCACATTGAAACCATCAATCAATGTTGCACTACCATTAGAGACCTGGAAGCACTGGAAGGCCGTTTCGTCCTGATATGGGACTCAACAGTTGCAGTACGTATCCACGACTCCTGCACTTCGCAACATTCGAACCCAGGACCTTCGTTCTTAAGCGCGAACGGCTAACCCCTGGATCGCTGGGCGGGCATCCAATGGTGTTAATGTCTAACTCTGATCAATCTACAGATTTTACCCTATTATTAGAATATTTCCACGCAAATTCATTAAAATTGTGATTAGCCGTTTAATATATAGATGTTTAATTTAAGCTAAGCATTTACATACTTTTCATTAGATTTTACTCAAGTTCTATAATAAACAATGTCATATTTTCATAAGGTTTTATTCACGCACTCATATCTTTAATTGAGTTTTCCTGGTATCACTTAACTCATAGTCTTAAGTTCGAACTAACTGCAAAACGAATTCATGATATTCGTAACTAAATAAATCTAACTAGTGAATGTAATAGCATTAAACAAATGTACCTGTCTGATTGATCTCAAGTAATAAATTAGAAGTCGATCGGAAAAATTTTCTATCCCCCAACTATCGAAATAAAAATATGGGTTTGTATCCTATGAGGAGCATCAGTTTTATATGTGTGTATCACCCTACTAGTAAGTTTGAATTAACATAAAACATAGGCTACGTCGGTCTTCCTCTTAATTATCTCCAACCATCTATTAATCTACGTAAAGTAGTTATATTATTAGAGGAATCATCAATATAAACTATGAATATATTCGGCAAGATTATCTACCCTTATGAATCTAGTTCTCTAAATAATAATGAACAGTTGTATTACTTATTCAAACTATGATTATTGCTTTGTATGTTTTTGATTTATTCATTCTTTTAAAATCGTTTGGAGATCGTACATGGAATGATTTTATTGATAGTTTAGCGATACAGTTAAAAGATATTTTTACATGAGTTAAACAGTCAGTTAATATCCACATGTCATTACTAAAATACCTGATCAGTTATCACTAAAATAATGTATACTCTTTTGATCAGTTAGCTTATGTAAATGTAAATTTTCATATGACATATATTTCAGCTAAACGATCTTTTCAA